TGATGCAGAATGTGAGTTCGCTTTGATGCCAACTAATGAACATGATTTATCATTTGGCATAATGAAAATGGTTCAACGCATTCGACTTATCAGAGGTAAAAATATGTCGTTGCGTCTTTGGTGACGTATATCCGATGTGTGCCGTACAAAATTGTCGCAGTTAAAAGTTCATTGATACTATTTTTGAGTTAAGACGCTTGTGGTAGATTTACGGATACTCAAACTTTATTAGTAGTAGCAGGTGTGATGCAGAATGTGAGTTCGCTTTGATGCCAACTAATGAACATGATTTATCATTTGGCATAATGAAAATGGTCCAACGCATTCGACTTATCAGAGGTAAAAATATGTCGTTGCGTCTTTGGTGACGTATATCCGATGTGTGCCGTATAAAATTGTCGCAGTTTAAAGTTCATTGATACTATTTTTGAGTTAAGACGCTTGTGGTAGATTTACGGATGCTCAAACTTTATTAGTAGTAGCAGGTGTGATACAGAATGTGAGTTCGCTTTGATGCCAATTGCAACTAATGAACATGATTTATCATTTGGCATAATGAAAATGGTTCAACACATTCGACTTATCAGAGGTAAAAATATGTCGTTGCGTCTTTGGTGACGTATATCCGATGTGTGCCGTACAAAATTGTCGCAGTTTAAAGTTCATTGATATTTTTTTTGAGTTAAGACGCTTGTGGTAGATTTACGGATGCTCAAACTTTATTAGTAGTAGCAGGTGTGATGCAGAATGTGAGTTCGCTTTGATGCCAACTAATGAACATGATTTATCATTTGGCATAAAGAAAATGGTTCAACGCATTCGACTTATCAGAGGTAAAAATATGAAATCGCCGGGACCGGGCAGTGAGTTCTACACAACCGATAAATTGACACATATGAGTTCGACTCAACTGTATTTGACTACAGTAGATCAGTAATATTCTTCTACAGCTATATGAAATGAACATCTTTTTATCTTAGTCCCTTCCAAAATTCACGATCCAAACCTTTAGATGTATTTGGCAATGTCCAATCTTTATGGAAATTTGGCCACGTGCACTGCCTTCAATATAGCATGAGATTAGATAAAACATTATTGTGAAGGTACAAGAAAATTGAAAATTGAATGATCAACTGCTGTTGAAGTTGATTATGTCTATTTAACCATCATTCATTCTGGCAAAAGACTGCACAAAGTAATCTGTGTGTGTGTGTGTGGGGGGGGGGGGGGGGGGGGGGGGGGATAAGTTTGTGTAAAAAGAAGACTTAGTAAGATATGAATTTGGACCCACATGACCCCTACCACGTTAGAAATGCTGTAAATATGTGCTGAAGAAAATCAAATAATAAATTTTGAAAGATTAGAAGTCTCAGATACCCATCAGCTGTTTTTTTTGTGCGATTTTGTTTAATTTTTTATGAGTTAAATATGAGTAAATCAAACTATATTATTAAGGTGAGTGAGTGGGTGAGTATGGTTTTACGCCGCTTTTAGCAATATCACGGCTGGGACCACCAGAAATGGGCTTTACACAATGTACCCATGTCGGGAATCGAACCAGGGTCTTCGGCGTGACGAGCGAACGCTTTAACCACTAGGCTACCAGACCGCCCCTATATTATCAAAACTATAACCATGTAGATATGAAGTCCTCTTTGAATGCTGACTAAGCGCTGGTTCCGTTTATTTATTGGATATAACATCGCTAACTTAAGATATTTTCAATGGAAAATCAAACATGTGATAGATGAACTGAGAGGTATAGTTTTTTGGCTCCTCAGTTTAATTCAGTTCAGACGTAGGGTCATGCCTTTATCCAATGAATGACAGATTCAGGAAGCACGTCTGGATTATCAAAAAAAGGTTCTACACAAAAACCCAAATTAGGAGATATACTGTAAACAAATTTGGTATAACAACTAATTATAATCTCGGAATAAATTATGTTATTTTAAGTGTATTTAAAACATTAAATGTAAACAGGCTGTATTCAGACAATCCTTCAGAGATGCTACTACAGTTCATTTAAAGTAAATACCATGTCGATGTTATACTCCTGGTGTGTGTTAAACACAATGACTGTAAATAAAGCAAAATAGTAAAATATTATTTTAAAGCGCCTTGAATTAGGAAGACTGAGTTGCATGTATTTATGTGTGGTGGTAAGAAGTCGTACATAACTGTAGTTACTTAGGCTTACTTTTGACGGAAAATCTAAAATATAAATACTATGGCAAAGGCTGCAGCAAGTTCGTCTAGAAGTGCACTTGGCATATCAATTGCAAAATTATTAGATGGTATGAATACCGAACTATTACAAAGTCATATGAAAGCATGGTACTGTCTGTTATTGAGTATGTACGTGTATCTGGGATACCTATGAGATGTCCTGTATTGATACCCTTCAGAATACAGCCTTTCAGAATATTACTTTTCAGGTCAAAGAGGCGAGGAAGTGCTGTTAAAATATATCAACGTTTATGTAATCTAGATCAAGATCGGATGTATCCGTATGACAATATATTTCTTAGGAGCTATCGTTGGCCGATAAGAAGAAAAGGTAACTTGAATATTCAAAATTCTTAAAAAAATATCTCGGCCTGGAACGTTTTATTCGCTATGATAACTGTTTTAATGCCTGATTTTATTGTGTCACAGGCTGAGTGTTTAGTTTTTAGATGTGTATACAAACGAGTAAATCCGGCTATTAGACAACCGAATAGTAGCTCCTGCTTAGGCGGCAGGGTTATATTGAAATTTTAAAATGTATATGCCACAGACAATTTAGTCACACGCCCTATCCCTGATCCCACTGAAACGCACTGGCTACATTCAAGTCTGTTTTACATTCTGTCTGACCCGTGAAGATTCGGGGTAGAATAGATCAACCAATGCGGGCCGTAAACGGCGACTATGCTTGTTGTAAGAGGCGACTAACGGGATCGGGTGGTCAGTCTCGTTGACTTGGTTGATCCATGTCATCGTATCCCAATTGCGCGGATCGATGCTCATAATGTCAATCACTGGATTGCCTTGTCCAGACTCGATTATTTACAGTCCGCCGTCATATAGCCGGAATATTGCTGAGTTCGGCGTTAAACCAAAAACAAACAAACAACATATGTTGTCTACCATTTTTAAAAGTAATTGGGAAGACACTTACATAAACAATCCATCTGTCTGCTACTAGTTTCTTAATTAGCTTATGGCCTAAAAAAACGTGCACGTATTGATCTGTTGTCTTAATAATTAACCCATCCAGACTGTTATAATTAGTCAACTTTTATCAAATTAACCACAGCAAGAATTCCCCATAACCGGTGTGATTGTGATAACTGTCATGCCGGACTTATTTCTCTGAATGGGACATCTAAAATTCCGGCAGCCAAACCGTTACACAGTGACAATCTGATCAACGGTTTTCTGTACACTCGAACCGTTGGATGTTACATACACTCTTCAAAAAAAGAAACGCACAGGCAGATTTTTAGTAAATTTATTGTACATAATAAAGTCGATATATTATTTTATTATCATGGATACAAATATGAAATGTTGGATCTTAATAGTCACATGTTGTCATTGTACAAAGGCATTGAAAACTGGTCATTGTCATGCAACATAAGGTCACAAGGTTGCGCTGAGCTCTCGTGTGACCGCCCCGGGCAGCAATCACGGCTCTGCATCTCCTTGGCACTGACTGGATTAGTGTACGAATTGTGTCCTGCGGAATTCAGCGCCATTCTCGTTGTAACGCGTTGTCCAGTTGTGGAAGTGTCTGCGGCGTGTTCTGACGTTGACGTACACGTCAATCGAGTTCATCCCAGAGGTGTTCGATTGGGTTGAGATCTGAAGATCTCGACGGCCAGGGGAAAGCGTTGATGTTGGCATTATGAAGGTAGTCCACCGTCACGCGAGCTTCATAAGGCCCAGAAGTATGGGTTATCAGGCGTTTTTGACAAACAGAGCAAATCCGGAGAAAATTTCCATCTGAGAGTGGATGGGAAAGCATGGTATAATGAGCTGTGTGTGTCTGAAAATATGACGTGGTGAAACTCTGCGACAACGTCAAGATATGCATATTCACACCCGTATTGTCTCTGGAGTCTGTGTGTATGGTATGATATTGCTTCTCTCTTAACATCTAAAACAACATGATCAATGAAGCGATGCTTCTAGTTAATCCCCAACAGTACAGCAAAGTCTGAAAGGACTATATTTACGTCATGAAGTATATTTAAGTAAACAGTCAATTCATTCCAGAATCGTTTTACAAGTGCTCAACAAATGAACAATATTTTCTGGCTCCACCTTACATAAATAGCAACTAGTTACGTCATCTCAAACATAGACTACATAATTAAGTACACCTTCATCTCAAACATAGACTATATGTGTACACCGGCATCTGAAACATAGTCTATTTGTGTACACCTTCCTCACAAACATAGACTATTTGTATACACCGTCATCTCAAACAGAGACTATATGTATACACCGTCACGGTCATCTCAACCATAGACTATATGTATACACCGTCATCTCAAACATAGACTATGTGTATACACCTTCATCTCAAACATAGACTATATGTATACACCGTCATCTCAAACATAGACTATTTGTATACACCGTCATCTCAAACATAGACTATTTGTATACACCGTCATCTCAAACATATCTGTGTACGCATTCATCTCACACCAAGACTCTCTGCACTCACCTTCACCTCTATTGCATTAACTATTGTAAAGTTGAAGTCATCCGTCTTGTCATAAAACACTTTTCCAACACTGAAACACAACAGTCAGATTATAAATAAAACACGTGCAACGAGTGAAATTGATTCATTTGCAATCAATCGTTCATTATACCGGAGGTAATTTACAAAGCGAATATAAATCAAATGTGATGTCATGTGGACGGTATCAATGGTATGTGTGTGTATATATTGATCACACAGCGACGTATGAACGGCTTACATCGTGATTAGGAGTACGATGTGTTCTCCTTTCCACAAGTGTTGTTTGAAGATGATCACCGGCAGGAGAGTGCCCACGTCGCGATTGCTGGGCGACTTTGCGGACAACACGTCAGCCCATGGCGTCCGCAAGTTGCACGAGAAGGGTCACTGGCTTCTTAAAGTGCTCTGGCTCCTTCTTCTATTGACGGCAACAGTGACTATTCTCATGCAAGAGTGGCAGCTCATCAATCTCTATCAGAGGTGAGTCACCCAGTATCATAGGTGCGTCTCTTCACAGCAACAGGGACTATTCTCACGCAAGTGTGGCAGCTCATCAACCTTTTTAGAGGTGTGTCAACCAGTATCACAGGTGCGTCTCTTGACAGCAACAGGGACTATCCTGCAAGTGAGGCAGCTCATCAACATCTATCAGAGGTGAGTCAACCAGTATTACATGTGCGTCTCTTGACAGCAACAGGGACTGTCCTCATGCAAGTGTGGCAGCTCATCAGCCTCTATCAAAGGTGAGTCAACCAGTATCATAGGTGCGTCTCTTGACAGCAACAGCGACTATCCTCATGCAAGTGTGGCAGCTCATCAACATCTATTAGAGGTGAGCCAACCAGTATAATAGGTGCGTCTCGTGACAGCAACATTGACTATTCTCATGCAAGTGTGGCAGCTCATCAACCTCTATCAGAGGTGAGTCAACCAGTATCATAGGTGCGTCTCTTGACAGCAACGGGGACTGTCCTCATGCAAGTGTGGCAGCTCATCAACATCTATCAGAGGTGAGTCAACCAGTATCATAGGTGCGTCTCTTGACAGCAACAGGGACTATCCTCATGCAAGTGTGGCAGCTCATCAACCTCTATCAGAGGTGAGTCAACCAGTATCACTGGTGCGTCTCTTGACAGCAACGGGGACTGTCCTCATGCAAGTGTGGCAGCTCATCAACCTCTATCAGGGGTAAGTCAACCAGTATCACTGGTGCGTCTCCTGACAGCAACAGGGACTGTCCTCATGCAAGTATTGCAGCTCATCAACCTCTATCAGAGGTGAGTCAACCAGTATCATAGGTACGTCAATCAGTAACAGAGGTACGTCAATCAGTACCAGAGGTGAGTCAACCGGTATCATAGCTGGGTCACTCAGTATCAGAGGTGAGTCTCTTTGTATCATAAGTGAGTTAATCAGTATCAGAGGTGATTCAATGACTACCAGTGTTTGGTCATTCAGTATCATAGGTGACTCAACCAGTACATTTATTAGAGGTAAGCCAACTTGTATTATAGGTGAGTCAATCACTATCGGAGGTGAGTCAACCAGTATCAGATGTGAGTCAACCAGTATGATATAGTAATCATACACAAAACAGACAAGACGACTTATACATAAATATATAGCATAATAAAATTATGTATTTATCATAAAATTAAAGTAAGACCATTAAGTGCTTTTACAAAATGCATTTTGAAAGTACATGTATCTCACTTGGGGTACTGATTCTGATTGACTCACCTCTGATGCATATACTGGTTGACTCGCCTATTATACTGATTGACTCTCTCTGCAAAATGTTGACACATTTGGCCATTCATGATATTTAAAGAGGCCTTTGAGGCTTGAGGGCTTCTTACCTATGCAGATGATGAAATTTGTTTCTGATATTGTATAACTATATTAATTGAAAAATCTTTTTCGATAATTATATTATGTCAACGCCAAGTTTTTATTGGTAGAGAATAGACCGAAGTCCTGAATTTTAAAATAGGTAAATATAGAGAATACTTTCAAAGTTTTGTTTTGTTTTGAAGAATTGACAACATATTCCCTGAGGGCTTAATAGTAGTATTTGTTCGACTTATTTGTTAGGACAACGAGACTGTTGAAGGATCTAAAACTATTTCAGATAAACCTATTTTTCAAGTAATTTATCTATAAATGCATCCATGTGTATGGGCTATGATCAAGATTATATTTTGACAAAGCATATTTATATTGTACATTGGCTAATTTCATCGGACTCCTATTTTGGGTGAATTTAAGCCAGAATGTTATCATTTGTTTATAGATCTTAATAAAAATGAGTTCTAGTCCGAGTTCACCATATGTCTTAATGTGAGGTGTCAGGTTTCTTCATTCGCCTGAATAAATATGAATGTTTTCAGGGATATTTTTCAAACACCATATTTCAGAATTGCACCTTGAAATCAGAGCAGCCATAACATCAAAAGAGACAAGTAGGCATTCAAGTGGCAATTTTGCAATTTGTTGATTTTTTTAGTAAAGAGTATTATAACATATGTTCATTTTCAGTCAAAGCTTAAAACTCTTCAACCTTCTTTTATTTCGATGAACATTTACCCATTTGATACATTAAAGAAACATGTTTCCAAAGTAAAGAATAGATTTGTCTCAATTGCTTGGCTGGTCTTTTTAAACGTTATCGTCTCGTTTAAATACTTTTGAAAATAATCTAAAGATTTTACTTGGTATGTACGTATCATCTGCATATAATCACCAAGATGAACCCACATTAGTATGTCACTGTCTTGTTCTTCTTTAATGTGTATACTGATGCATCCTGTTTCAATCACATATGATTCTATATCAATACGATATACTGCAATTAGAAGTGGGGATAACTATATTCATTGTCTAACCCCAGACATACATAGGAAATGCAAGGATGAGATACCATTTGATATTATCTTTGATTTTATGTCAATATACATATACACATCGAAACTGTTTCCTTGAATACCAGTTTTATGTAGTTTTAAGTCTTCCTCTACACACGATATAAAACCCCTGGAAAATTCCCAAGCACAAATACATACATTAGCCTTGTTTCTAATGATTGTGACCCTTTAATCTCAGCCTTTCAGTAAAATATCAGAGGAAAATGAGAGAGGTTTTGCTGCATGCTCGCTACGACCCACCCTAGAGAACAAAACGAAGAAATGCACATTCACTATCGTAGATTCGACTCGATCAGTGTCTAGACCGACAGTGACATCTAGGAATTTGCATATATATATATGTGACACATCTTCACAATCACCTTGCGATCACAGGCCAACTTATCAGTGATGATTAACACTTGTAATCGCAACAGGTCCATGAAGAAATTCGGAAATCGCTCCCGACACGTTTATCGTGTCGGCCATGTTGACGTTCAATATTTGGAGAAAAAATTGATGTATTCCGACGCGCTGTAACTGTGACTGACTAATTGCGGTTGTTCGTAGTACATCTTCTTCATCTAATGATGGAATTATTTGAATCTATTTGCTGTAACCAATCAACAACAGATGTTCTTGTGGAGCAAGTTGAGCACATACACGCTAATGTCACCTCGCCTCATGATGAACTGTTTTATTCCGGGTTACAGTTGGTAATTGTATGGCTGTCATTGAGAAAACGAAGTCACGCGTACTAAATGAAATTGTGTAATACATTCCTCGAGGTATAAAAAATCCTAAGAATGGACTTTCACTTTGTGTGAGTTCATTAGAGTATGAACCTTCATTGAGTGATGGCCAAACATTGTATGAACCTCGTCGCAAGCACCGACGTTCGTGCCGTTTGGCCCTCTTACTCAGAGAAGGTTCATACTCCAATGAACACAAAATGAGGCTCAGTTCTCAACTAAACGTTGCGCAATGAACATAAGATTATTGTGCAGTCATCTGTTGGTGCTATAATGGGAAATCCTGTACGATGAATGCACAACAACAGGAATCTAAATAATTTATCTGGAAAAGCGATAAAGAGCTTTGAGCCTTGTTCTCAAATACATTTTCATGGTAACATAATCAAATAACATAGGTCAGATAATTGATAACCGATAATGTTTGAGACATTATAATTGAGATCGATTATTGTCCGTCGTTCACGTTTAATATCAACCTGAACTGGTTTCGACTGGTGGAGGTTCACTGAAGTCCCCGAGTTTTATTATCAGCTTATAAGCATTTATCAATTCTTCTTAGACAACTACAAAAGAAACGTTTGGACCGTCTGGAATGATTCTCTTTACTTGTAAGCAGCAAAATCTCTACCAAATGTGTAAATGTGCTATCGTGTCAGTGGCGTGTCTGGTCCATCTCTTGATTGTTTGGTCAAGACTAGATTGTATACATGCTTCGTGTGGCAGGAGCACTACAGTGCGGCGTCCGGCAAAAAATATTAATTTTACTTTTTTAATTATGCACATTGTGCGAGTGGCGGGTGCTACCGGTAGGGCAGGACACCATTACTTTTTTCTCGAACAACTGTTGTCATCACTGATTTTCAGTTATCCATTAGGCCCGTGAAGATCCGGTCTTCTACCACCCCTGCTTGCCGTGAAAGGCGACTATGCTTGTCGTAAGAGGCGACTAACGGGATCGGGTGGTCAGGCTCGCTGACTTGGTTAATGCATGTCATCGATCCCAATTGCGTGGATCGATGCTCAGGTTGTCAATCACTGGATTGTCTGTACCAAAACTCGGTTCTTTACAGACCGCCGTCATAAAGCTGGAATATTGCTGATGGCGGCGTAAACCAACAAACAAACAAACAAACAGTGATCCATTCATGTAATTTTGCCTTTCCGCTTAAGGGAATTTTTGGGCAGATACTCGAGATTGAATATTCTCTCGCATTGACGTTTAATATTTCAAAGACTTTTAATAGGAATATCTTTCCAGAAAAGGGGTGTTGTTTTGAAATCCAAATTTAAATTCAAATATTAATAATGATATAACAATGTGCCCGTATAATGCGCTAGACTCCATGTAGCAGTTCGTGCCCAAAGCGTTACATTATTACCCCAGCCAATGGATCAGTGAGCACTCGATTTTCATTGTATGACATATGTCAGGTCCAAATACATTAAGTGCATACTGTAATACGTAGTATCATTTTAGAAATAAATTCACATGTTTCATGGCAGTATAATTCTGCTTTTAGAAATGATGTCTCCTTTGGGGTCTCCCAGTCCAAATATACGTCCAGTCCCTTACGCTCGTCGTAGGAGCCGACTAACATGGAGATCGGGCGGTTGAAGTCGATTGTTGCCTTTAATCACTCGTTTTTCTCATCCAACAGGCCGTCGTGATGAAGCAAAATCGAATAATGCAGTTAACAACATTGACTAGTTAACTTACTCCAACTAATGCAGCTGCGGGGACCAATCACAATGAACATCACACATTCTATGATGTGAGTGAGTGAGTGAGTATGGATTTACGCCGCTTTTAGCAATATTGCAGCAAATATCACGGCGGGGGACACCAGAAAAGGGCTTCACACATTGTACCCATGTCGGGAATCGAACCCGGGTCTTCGGTGTGACGAGCGAACGCTTTAACCACTAGGCTACCCGACCGCCCCTTCTATGATGTGAGAAGCGGACTTACATCTTCGGCTTGACGCCTTGTCAACCACGAGTCAATCCCTCCGCCCTGGCTAAAAATAAAAGAGCAGCTTTACATATGTAATACAGATGTTTTCAGGCATTTTTGTTTTTTTGGTTTCAAATCCTGATTATTACATTTTTTTTGTATTTTGGATGATGATATGTCAAATATTTGGAATGAGTGAGAGAGTGAGTGAGAGAGTGAGTGAGTGAGAGAATGAGAGAGAGTGTGAGTGGGTAACTATGTAAGGTTGTATCGGCGTTGTTTCAACCATAAAGCGACAAGAACACGTTTTACTGTTTCACAGATGGGGCTCAGGAAATTAAGTAACTACAGTCTATCCTTATATCGGCGCGGTCGGGTGGCCTAGTGGTTTAAGCGTTCGCTCGTCACGCTGAAGACCTAGGTTCGATTCCCGACATGGGTACAATGTGTGAAGCCCATTTCTGGTGTCCTCCGCCGTGATATTGCTGGAATATTGCTAAATGCGGCGTATAACCATACTCACTCACTCACTATCCTTATATCGGTGCACTGTCGCGACACAAAAGACGTTTCGACTTGCGAAAAGTATATGTTTTTCTTTGTATTTGCGCTCTAAGCGTCAAGGAAAATCAAATCACTCTCTTTTTTTCCAGACGGCCTGTTACAACCAAGACAACGATAAACACCCGCAGTCTCCAGTCTCCGAGCGTCACCCTGTGCAACCTAAACCCGTTCAAGTACTCCAACATTAGAAGTAACGACTTCGCAATGGCCGCCCTCAGGGATATTTCCAGGTCTCTTAACGTCTCGCTGGAACAAGTTGGTAACACATCGCAGTCAGATGCGGTAGGTTCACTCTTGACATTACCTGAAACTGTTTTGTAGCACCAACACATCACATTTACGTGCATTCCGTTCACTCCTGACTCCTTAAACTGTTGTGTTGCTAGTTCACGTTTGACTTTGGCTAAAACCTGTTCAGTGACAGAAACTCATCTCAGTAAAATGCAGAAGGCTCATGTCTGGTCGTTTTGTTAGTCACCAACAAAAAAGGACAATATATGAAGTTAATTTTGCTTTGAGGTTTGCGAAAATATACATCATTAAAACTGGCGTTTTAGAGTTTTTTAGAAGTGTTTGAGCAAAAGTTCTCTCAGATATTATGCCATATTATCTACAACTGTCGCATCTCTTACAACTGTAGGGTAAAACTATATGCGAAAACACGCCTCACTGCACAAAGCCGGGTCTCTTTACATAAAGCCGTTACTCATAGCATAAAGTCGTGTCTCATTACTTAAAGCCCTGTCTCATTACACAAAGCCATGTCTCATTACATAAAGCCGTGTCTCATTACATAAAGCCGTTACTCATAGCATAAAGTCGTGTCTCATTACTTAAAGCCGTGTCTCATTACACAAAGCCATGTCTCATTACATAAAGCCGTGTCTCATTATGTAAAGCCGTGGCTCATTACATAAAGCCGTGTCCCTCAACATGAAGCCGTGTCTCGTCACATGAAGCCGTGTCTCATTACATAAAGTCGCGTCTCACTACATTAAGCCGTGCCTCATGACATAAAGCCGTGTCTCATTACATAAAGCCGTGTCTCATTGCATAAAGCCGTGTCTCATGATATAAAGCCATGTCTCATGACATAAAGCCATGTCTCATTACAAATAAAGCCGTGTCTCACGACATGAAGCCGTGTTTCATTACATAAAGCCGTGTCTCATTACATAAAGCCGTGTTTTACAACACAACCGTGTCTCATGACATAAAACCGTGTTTCATTACATAAAGCCGTGTCTCACTACATAAAGCCGTGTCTCACTACATAAAACCGTGCCACACAACATGAAGCCGTTTCTCGTCACATGAACCCGTGTCTCATTACATAAAGCCGTGTCTCATTATATAAAGCCGTGAGCTCACAGCACAACGCCGCGTCTCATGACATAAAGCCGTGTCTCATTACATAAAGCCGTGTCTCATTACATAAAGTCGCGTCTCACTACATAAAGCCGCGTCTCATTACATAAAGCCGTATCTCACTACATAAAGCCGTGTCTCACAACATGAGGTGAGGTGAAATGGGGTTGAACGTCGCGTCCAAGATTATTGCACTTATATAGCGACGTGCATGTACGTGTGTATGTTTGTGTGGCTGCTTGTACTAGTCCGGACTGATGCCGATTTATAGTGCTAGCTCACAGAGATACCATGCCGCAGTTTAACATGAATACCCCACTCAGACACAGTATACTGACTCCGAGCCGACCAGTCCTTGTTTAAGCCCCTTAATGCCGAGCGCCAGACAGGGTAACAACAAGTACCATCTTAAAACGTCTTTTGGTATGACGCGGCCGGGGATCGTACCCCGGACCTTCCGCTCTCCGGGCGGACGCTCTACCACTAGACCACGGAGGCGGTCCTCACAACATGAAGCCGTGTCTCGTCACAGAAAGCAATGTCTCACTACATAAAGCGGCGTTAAGCAACATCCACGGGATAATATTATGTCAATGTGTTTTCATACTGTTAAATTGAACTAATACGACACAGAAAACTAAGATGACATGATGTCATAAGAATACGATCGGAAGATGCAACAAAAATAGGATATTATGATTCTACAATAATAAGGTTCGATGTCACTAAAATTCAACGGTACAAATATTCGATGATACTAAGATGCGATAATACCTTGCCATGATGATACGATAATTATAATAAGATGCGATAATAATAATACACGATGATACTAAAATACATTGTTAGATTGAGGGATCTCCTCCAAGGCTGATATCATCTCTTGCTGTATCTTACGGTCTCTCATCGTCTCTCACTGTCTATCATTACCCCTCACAGTATCTCATCGTCTCTCACTGTCTACCATTAGCCCTCACAGTATCTCATCGTCTCTCACTGTCTATCATTACCCCTCACAGTATCTCATCGTCTCTCACTGTCTATCATTACCCCTCACAGTATCTCATCGTCTCTCACTGTCTACCATTACCCCTCACAGTATCTCATCGTCTCTCACTGTCTATCATTACCCCTCACAGTATCTCAATGACTCTCACTGTCTACCATTACCCCTCACAGTATCTCAATGACTCTCACTGTCTACCATTACCCCTCACAGTATCTCAATGACTCTCACTGTCTACCATTACCCCTCACAGTATCTCACCGTCTCTCACTGTCTACCATTACCCCTCACAGTATCTCACCGTTTCTCACTGTCTACCATTACCCCTCACAGTATCTCATCGTCTCTCACTGTCTACCATTACCCCTCACAGTATCTCATCGTCTCTCACTGTCTACCATTACCCCTCACAGTATCTCAATGACTCTCACTGTCTACCATTACCCCTCACAGTATCTCACCGTCTCTCACTGTCTACCATTACCCCTCACAGTATCTCACCATCTCTCACTGTCTACCATTACCCCTCACAGTATCTCATCGTCTCTCAATGTCTATAATAACCCCTCACAGTATCTCACCGTCTCTCACTGTCTACCATTACCCCTCACAGTATCTCACCATCTCTCACTGTCTACCATTACCCCTCACAGTATCTCATCGTCTCTCAATGTCTATCATAACCCCTCACAGTATCTCACCGTCTCTCGCTGTCTACCATTACCCCTCACAGTATCTCACCGTCTCTCACTGTCTACCATTACCCCTCACAGTATATCATCGTCTCTCACTGTCTACCATTACCCCTCACAGTATCTCATCGTCTCTCACTGTTTACCATTACCCCTCACAGTATCTCACCGTCTCTCACTGTCTACCATTACCCCTCACAGTATCTCACCGTCTCTCACTGTTTACCATTACCCCTCACAGTATCTCACCGTCTCTCACTGTCTACCATTACCCCTCACAGTATCTCACCGTCTCTCACTGTTTACCATTACCCCTCACAGTATCCCATCGTCTCTCACTGTCTACCATTACCCCTCACAGTATCTCATCGTCTCTCACTGTCTACCATTACCCCTCACAGTATCTCACCGTCTCTCACTGTTTACCATTACCCCTCACAGTATCTCACCGTCTCTCACTGTCTACCATTACCCCTCACAGTATCTCACCGTCTCTCACTGTCTACCATTACCCCTCACAGTATCTCACCGTCTCTCACTGTCTATTATTACCCCTCACAGTATCTCATCGTCTCTCACTGTCTATCATTACCCCTCACAGTATCTCACCGTCTCTCACTGACTATCATTACCCCTCACAGTATCTCACCGTCTCTCACTGACTATCATTACCCCTCACAGTATCTCATCGTCTCTCACTGTCTACCATTACCCCTCACAGTATCTCATCGTCTCTCACTGTCTACCATTACCCCTCACAGTATCTTATCGTCTCTCACTGTCTACCATTACCCCTCACAGTATCCCACCGTCTCTCACTGTCTACCATTACCCCTCACAGTATCTCACCGTCTCTCACTGTCTGCCATTACCCCTCATAGTATCTCACCGTCTCTCACTGTTTACCATTACCCCTCACAGTATCTCAATGACTCTCACTGTCTACCATTACCCCTCACAGTATCTCACCGTCTCTCACTGTCTATCATTACCCCTCACAGTATCTCACCATCTCTCACTGTCTACCATTACCCCTCACAGTATCTCATCGTCTCTCAATGTCTATAATAACCCCTCACAGTATCTCACCGTCTCTCACTGTCTACCATTACCCCTCACAGTATCTCACCATCTATCACTGTCTACCATTACCCCTCACAGTATCTCATCGTCTCTCAATGTCTATCATAACCCCTCACAGTATCTCACCGTCTCTCGCTGTCTACCATTACCCCTCACAGTATCTCACCGTCTCTCACTGTCTACCATTACCCCTCACAGTATATCATCGTCTCTCACTGTCTACCATTACCCCTCACAGTATCTCATCGTCTCTCACTGTTTACCATTACCCCTCACAGTATCTCACCGTCTCTCACTGTCTACCATTACCCCTCACAGTATCTCACCGTCTCTCACTGTTTACCATTACCCCTCACAGTATCTCACCGTCTCTCAATGTCTACCATTACCCCTCACAGTATCTCACCGTCTCTCACTGTTTACCATTACCCCTCACAGTATCCCATCGTCTCTCACTGTCTACCATTACCCCTCACAGTATCTCATCGTCTCTCACTGTCTACCATTACCCCTCACAGTATCTCACCGTCTCTCACTGTTTACCATTACCCCTCACAGTATCTCACCGTCTCTCACTGTCTACCATTACCCCTCACAGTATCTCACCGTCTCTCGCTGTCTACCATTACCCCTCACAGTATCTCACCGTCTCTCACTGTCTATTATTACCCCTCACAGTATCTCATCGTCTCTCACTGTCTATCATTACCCCTCACAGTATCATACCGTCTCTCACTGACTATCATTACCCCTCACAGTATCTCACCGTCTCTCACTGACTATCATTACCCCTCACAGTATCTCATCGTCTCTCACTGTCTACCATTACCCCTCACAGTATCTCATCGTCTCTCACTGTCTACCATTACCCCTCACAGTATCTTATCGTCTCTCACTGTCTACCATTACCCCTCACAGTATCCCACCGTCTCTCACTGTCTACCATTACCCCTCACAGTATCTCACCGTCTCTCACTGTCTGCCATTACCCCTCATAGTATCTCACCGTCTCTCACTGTTTACCATTACCCCTCACAGTATCTCACCGTCTCTCACTGACTATCATTACCCCGCACAGTATCTCACCGTCTCTCACTATCATTACCCTTCACAGTATCTCGCCGTCTCTCCCTGTCAACCATTACCCCTCACAGTATCTCACCGTCTCTCACTGTCTACCATTACCCCTCACAGTATCTCATCGTCTCTCGCTGTCTATCATTACCCCTCACAGTATCTCATCGTCTCTCACTGTTTACCATTACCCCTCACAGTATCTCACCGTCTCTCACTGTCTATCATTACCCCTCACATTATCTCACCGTCTCTCACTGTCTACCATTACCCCTCACAGTATCTCACCGTCTCTCACTGTTTACCATTACCCCTCACGCTATCTCACCGTCTCTCACTGTCTATCATTACCCCTCACATTATCTCATCGTCTCTCACTGTCTATCATTACCCCTCACAGTTTCTCATCGTCTCTCACTGTCTATCATTACCCCTCACAGTATCTCACCGTCTCTCACTGTCAACCATTACCCCTCACAGTATCTCATCGTCTCTCACTGTCTATCATTACCCCTCACAGTATCTCACCGTCTCTCACTGTCTATCATTACCCCTCACAGTATCTCATCGTCTCTCACTGTCTATCACTACCCCTCACAGTATCTCATCGTCTCTCACTGTCTATCATTACCCCTCACAGTATCTCACCGTCTCCCACTGTCTATCATTACCCCTCACAGTATCTCACCGTCTCTCACTGTCTATTATTACCCCTCACAGTATCTCATCGTCTCTCACTGTCTATCATTACCCCTCACAGTATCATACCGTCTCTCACTGACTATCATTACCCCTCACAGTATCTCACCGTCTCTCACTGACTATCATTACCCCTCACAGTATCTCACCGTCTCTCACTGTCTACCATTACCCCTCACAGTATCTCATCGTCTTTCACTGTCTACCATTACCCCTCACAGTATCTTATCGTCTCTCACTGTCTACCATTACCCCTCACAGTATCCCACCGTCTCTCACTGTCTACCATTACCCCTCACAGTATCTCATTGTCTCTCACTGTCTATCATTACCCCTCACAGTATCTCACTGTCTACTATTACCCCTCAAAGTATCTCACTGTCTACCATTACCCGTCACAGTATCTCGTCGTCTCTCACTGTCTACCATTACCCCTCACCGTCTCTCACTGTCTACCATTACCCCTCACAGTATCCCACCGTCTCTCACTGTCTATCATTACCCCTCACAGTATCTCACCGTCTCTCACTGTCTGCCATTACCCCTCATAGTATCTCACCGTCTCTCACTGTTTACCATTACCCCTCACAGTATCTCACCGTCTCTCACTGACTATCATTACCCCGCACAGTATCTCACCGTCTCTCACTATCATTACCCTTCACAGTATCTCGCCGTCTCTCCCTGTCAACCATTACCCCTCACAGTATCTCACCGTCTCTCACTGTCTACCATTACCCCTCACAGTATCTCATCGTCTCTCGCTGTCTATCATTACCCCTCACAGTATCTCATCGTCTCTCACTGTTTACCATTACCCCTCACAGTATCTCACCGTCTCTCACTGTCTATCATTACCCCTCACAGTATCTCACCGTCTCTCACTGTCTATCATTACCCCTCACAGTATCTCATCGTCTCTCACTGTCTATCATTACCCCTCACAATATCTCACCGTCTCTCACTGTCTATCATTACCCCTCACAGTATCTCACCGTCTCTCACTGTCTACCATTACCCCTCACAGTATCCCACCGTCGCTCACTGTCTACCATTACCCCTCACAGTATCTCATCGTCTCTCACTGTCTACCATTACCCCTCACAGTATCTTATCGTCTCTCACTGTCTATCATTACCCCTCACAGTATCTCATCGTCTCTCACTGTCTACCATTATCCCTCACAGTATCTCATCGTCTCTCACTGTCTACTTATGTCCATCACAGTATCTCACAGCCTCTCACTGTCTATCATTACCCCTCATAGTATCTCATCGTCTCCCACTGTCTACCACTATCCATCACTGATGAAGCTCGCTGTCTCCAATGGTATTCGTGAAGACACACGTTGAAACACAGTGGGGAAATGTCTGAAGGATGGATTCAGTTCCTGAGTCCTCGGATAAATGATACTGTGAACTGCGAATGCATGTACTAAACATTTTTATCTACTCTTAATTTAGAGAGGCCTAACGTCGGAAGGAGTCACATTCAAACCTTTTTGTTTATATACGTTATTTTTAAATGTACAAGTGCAAACAAATGTAACAATCTACGACCAATGACCAAAGTATGGTGGCTGGAGTAAACCACTTGGTACTTCACCTTGACAACTTGTAGCATGTAAGAGGAACAACATCGAGCTTGGTACGTCACCATGACTACATGTAGGATGTGACATGAACAAAATCTAGCTTGGTACTTCATCATGACTACATGTAGCATGTGAGATGAATATCATATAGCCTGGTACTACACCATGTCTACATGTAGCAGGTGAGATGAATATCATATAGCCTGGTACGTCACCATGACTACATGCAGCATGTGAGATGAATATCATATAGCCTGGTACTTCACCATGACTACATGTAGCATGTGAGATGAACATCATATAGCCTGGTACTACACCATGACTACATGCAGCATGTGAGATGAATATCATATAGCCTGGTACTTCACCATGACTACATGCAGCATGTGAGATGAATATCATATAGCCTGGTACTTCACCATGACTACATGCAGCATGTGAGATGAATATCATATAGCCTGGTACTACACCATTACTACATGTAGCATGTGAGATGAATATCACATAGCCTGGTACTACACCATTACTACATGTAGCATGTGAGATGAATATCATATAGCGTGGTACTTCACCATGACTACATGTAGCATGTGAGATGAATGTCATCTAGCCGGGTACTTCACAATTACTACATGTAGTATGTGATATGAACAATATCTAGCCGGGTACTACACAATGACTACATGTAGTATGTGACATGAACAATATCTAGCCGAGTACTACACAATTACTACAGGTAGCATGTGAGATGAATGTCATCTAGCCGGGTACTTCACAATTACTACATGTAGTATGTGATATGAACAATACCTAGCCGGGCACTACACAATTACAACATGTAGCATGTGATATGAACAATATCTAGCCGGGTACTACACAATTACAACATGTAGCATGTGATATGAACAATATCTAGCCGGGTACTACACAATTACTACATGTAGTATGTGATATGAACAATACCTAGCCGGGCACTACACAATTACTACATGTAGCATGTGATATGAACAATATCTAGCCGGGTACTATACAATTACTACATGTAGTATGTTATATGAATAATACCTAGCCGGGTACTACACAATTACTACATGTAGTATGTGATATGAACAATACCTAGCCGGGTACTACACAATTACTACATGTAGTATGTGATATGAACAATATCTAGCCGGGTACTACACAATTACTACATGTAGTATGTGATATGAACAATATCTAACCGGGTACTACACAATAACTACATGTAGTATGTGACATGAACAATATCTAGCCTGGTACGTCAATATACGCAACCCACTTTGTGTCCCAGGGAGACGTTGGTGGCGGGGAAGATTACATTGATGATCCTATTACGTCAGAGAGTTCATTCTCAGGTACTGTGCCTTATTACTTAAACATTGCCAAAACGTATATTGAATACTTGAGTAATTTTAGTATATTTTGTATTTATTAAGTAATCTTGTGACCATGTGATACCACCTATGCTGAGAAATATATGGGGGCTTCGGGTAGCCTTGAGGTAAAACAGTTGACTCGTCACGCTGGAGACCGGGTTCCATTCCCTACAGGAGTACATTACATGAAACCGATTCAATCGTCATAATCATAAACCAAATTCAGTCACACTACAATTACGTTGTTTCCAACTTGGACGTTATAGATTTATGTTTTCCTATACTCGGTTGATGCACTTCACAACCATATCACACTTTACATTGACGTGTTCAGTGAATCAGTTCCTGACCCAAATATCCAAGGACTTCCGGATGGATACTCTGCTGTCTCTGGAAGACAAGACAAGCGTGAGGGAGTTGGCACAGCCTGTCTCGGAGCTCATCGTTAGCTGCAACTCCGCCGGCATGGACTGTCACTACAGGCAAGTGTCGACCGCGTGTAAGCCTTTACCTTCAGAACAAGTCATCCTTGCGAGAAAATCTTCCACTAGCCTTTATCAAAGTCTAGTTTTCATCCTTGCCATTTATATGTCTGTTCTAAAGTATGATTGGTTGATTGGTTTGGAGTTTAAGGCCGCCATCAGCAATAATCCAGCTATATGACGGCGGTCTGTAAATAATCGAGTCTGGACCAGACAATCCAGTGATTGATATCATGAGCATCGATCCACGCAATTGGGATCGATGACATACATCAACCAAGTCAGCGAGCCTGACCACCCGATCCCGTTAGTCGCCTTTTACGACAAGCAGAGTCACCTTTTACGCCAAGCCTTGGTTGCTGAAGGCCTATTCTACCCCGGAGTCTTCACGGGTCCGTAAAGTACGAGAGGACTATTGCACATATCGATAGTCCAATCAAAGAACGTTTTACAAAATCAACATTCGGTTTCCGGAAACGTGGTCGCTTCCATGTCCACAGCCATCCTCTGTCGAATTTGCGCTGAACGTATTCCAAAATGAAGTGAAGGCAAATTTACTGAAACGCAAAAGAAACGTCACCCCAAGTAACATTGCATGAAAAGTTGTCATTTAAATATCTGGGTAATGTTTGTCAAAGTTTCTACAATTTAACATTACCTTGTCCGGAAAAATGAAATTTGATGATAAGAAACAAAACAGAGACAATAAAACCGATCGCCCAAACGCACCACGGCAACCGCCAGGGTAACCCGATGCACGTGAATTCCGTGCAAATTGAAATGCACATGCGTTCCCCCATTTCTTGGCCTATAAAAATCCACCCAGATCGGATAACATTCATTTGTTATTGAATTGCTACCACATGCCAAGATTGACAAGAAATCAGTGACACCAAGGCTGGACAAACCGCCCGGTAAGTAGCCAGCGCATTCCAAGTCCACGCAAGGACCATATACAAGCTCCAGCAACGGTACCAGACCACCAACACTACAGATGACCGACCACGTAGAGGAAGGATAAGGGTCACCACCCGACGTCAGGATCGTCAGATTGTGCGATAGCATCTTCAAGATCGCTTTGTTACTGCTGCGGAAACTGCTCGACAGACCATGAGGACACACCAGCGACACATTAATACGGACACCGTGCGTCGGCGATTGACGAGCAGACACCTCCACTGTCACAGGCCACACCGAGGACCCATTCTGACACCCATTCATCGCCGGGACCGTCTTCAGTGGGCAACATATCAACAGCATTGGCGCCACCAGCAGTGGAGAAGAGTCCTCTTCTCAGAAGAGAGCCGTTACTGTATCTCAACAGAGAGGAGGAGTCTGGCGACGCCGTGGGGAACGTTATTCGGATGCTTCTGATTTTGAGAGAGACTCGTGGGGTGGTCCGAGCATCATGGTGTGGGGTGGAATTGGTCTTGCACAGATGGTCGGTCGGCCCGATGGTCTTCCAGAACATCGGTCCAGGGAAAGGCAATGGTGTCACAGCAGGTCGGTACATCTATCAAGTCTTGAGAGCACACGCCATACCTCATTTGGCACGTCGCCGCAACCACGAGTTTCAGCATGATAACGCCCGTGCCCACACTGCGAAGGCAACAAGAGTGTGAGCTCAAGCGCCTATGGCCTTCATCAGCCGCCTCATCCATTCCATGTATCGATGTTGCACGGCAGTCATCAATGCACGTGGCGGACACACGAGATACTGACTTGTGATGCCACTTTCTCAGAGACTAATGTTGTGTTTCACTTTAAGAACATTTGACACTTTAATTTCAATCTTGATGATCAGTTTTGCCAAGTTTCATCTTTTAATATGTCTTAAAGTATGTTTACAGTGTTTGGACAAGTAAGGTTTCTTATATATCTATCCATGGTGACTTTTCTTTTACGGTTCAGTATATTTTCGAAGTGTTTAAATCCTGTCAATGATCACGCCCCTGTAGGAGCGAAAGGCGTAAGAAATAAGTATCTTTACTGTGGTAATCTGTCATTTTGTTTGTCTATCAGGGATGAAATATCGAATCTTTACGTCATATGAACGACCAGGACGTTTGCTGTGGTAGGCATCTTTGTGAAGCCATTCGAAATAAGATTTCGCCGCAAATAAACACCTGCTCTTGAACGTCCCCGTGCAGACCAATACATCCTGCTCAGGTCGCTTTAATCCAGCCCGACCCTCCTCCCGACGCCCCGCCCCCTCCCTCCCTCACACATACATGCACACACAAACAACCCCACATCACACATATATACACAAATACCGACATATCAATAGTCGGTCCCTTTATACTTTTGTTGACGTGTTGATTCAACACACAGCGAGTTCTCATGGATCTTCGACCTGGACTACATGACGTGCTTCCAGTTTCCTGCCAAAACCAGCTACCGCTCGCTCGAAGTCTACAACGCTGGCCAACTCTTTGGTAAGTATGAATGTATAGTAGTTTAGATAATGTAAATCTTGGGAACAAATGCTAGTGGTCTTTGTTTGCATTAATGAAACTTCGCATTTATGTCTCAAAAATATACCCCAGACCTTCCCCACCCCCACTCCCACATACACACATGTGTTATTTTTTGCATGAATGTTTTTTTTCTGTCTTGAGGTCTAAGTTTGATTCTGAACGTGGACCAGAAAGAGTACATCCCCTTCGTGACGCCAGGTGCCGGTATCCGTGTGGCGATCCACGAGTTCGGCTCGCAGCCCAATCTGATGCAGAAAGGGCTGACTGCTCCCCCGGGCTTCGAGACATCCATTGGAATCAGACCAGTGAGTACGAGACAGTGACATTACCTTGGTGAGCAATTTGCCAGTCGTGTCTCTATTCTGTGTTGCTGGTTTGGGTTTTTTCGTTTGAGACAGTACTTGGGTCACTTCTTCAAGACATGATATTTGGTCAAACCTGATAGAACGATAGGAACGCAGAATAATACGTTAGCGAATCGACAAATGTCAGGCTGTTGACAGAATAAACACATTCAAATGAACCATCGCTTGCGCAATTCCGTATTTTACTTTTTCTGATTTTTTCTGATGATTTTGTTATTTGGTTTGTTGTTTAACGCCGCAATCAGCAATATTCCAGCTCGGTGACGGCGGTCTGTAAATAATCGAATCTGGACCAGACAAACCAGTGATTGATATCATGAGCGTCGATCCAAACAATTGGGATCGATGACATGCATCAACCAAGTCAGCGAGCCTGACCACCCGATCCCGTTAGTCGCCTTTTACGACAAGCATAGTCGTCTTTTGCTTTTTCTGATGAAGGATTATTCGTTGATCTCTGGGGGAACATTTGTCTTGGGAAGACTCATAACATCGCGATTTCTGATTCTCACGGACCTTGGCTGTCATTAGAGAATGAGATGCTACTGACACCTTGACGATTAGCAGCCTTTCTTTAATTATTCCATGAGGAGGCTATTCACCACGCCAGACACTTGTCCGGAAAAGCATTATATACTATGTAAAGCCAATTCCCGTTGTGTTATTACTGTATATCTCAAAGCCTGCAAATCTTTTAAGGCAATCCGAATACATCAGCCAGCCCCATACGGCAACTGTGTGGCCAACTACCCTCACGGAGACATTGAGGTAAGCAGGGAAGAATCCCCTCCAACAGAACTGGGAGGTATCCACAATGGAACGAACTTTCATGATGTGACTGTCTCGTCATTCAACCAAGATGGTAGATGTCGTAAAATTTGTTCAAAGTGTTTCTAATGAATAAATCGACAGACCCGTTTCCATATCCAATAGAAATCTCTGCTTAAAGCAGAGTCGATTTACAATTCCGACTATACCATAAGCATGTATTTATGAGTGGACTAATTTCGAAAATAATATATGTATAATTGGTTGAACTCTCTTTCGATTGTGAGAACATAATGTATAATTTAGGTGATATAATGATAAGGTTGTTGCTGTGGTAATAGACATGTCAGCGAAGCTGCCTGGAGGATCTTATAGAGGCTGAGTGTCGGTGTTCGCGAAGGATCGACAACCCCAACAACATCGAGATCACGTGCACTGGAATCGGTGAGAACGACTAATTATTTTGAGAATAATTTACTTACCACCTCCAAAGTATGTGCTCACTTTGAAACATAACGATGACCATGCTGGTTGGTTGGTTGGTTGGATGGTTTGTTGTTTTACGCCGCACACAGCAATAGACCAGACAATCATGAGCATCGATCCACGCACTTGGGACCGATGACATGCATCAACCAAGTCTGCGAGCCTGACCACCCGATCCCGTTAGTCGCCTTTTACGACAAGCATAGTCGCCTTTTACGGCAAGCATGGGTTGCTGAAGACCTATTCTATCCCGGATCTTCACGGGTCCCATGCTGTGTGGCATTGATGCCCTTTAAATATATCAGGGTAACATAAAAGCGAGAATTAGTACCTAATGAAGCTTTCACGCCTTAAAGATTTGACTGAGTTGGAAGTACTTGATTCATGATAGTTGCTTCACGTTCTCTGTCGTTTCTACACGTTCCCTCGTCCTTCCTTCAATAACACCTGCCATGGAAATATATTTAGTGCACCCTATGCAGGTCATTTGAATAACACCAGGAACAATACATAAATGTGACAGCCATGAGATACAGTGGCGTTAACGTCAGTTAATAACAACAGGCAACGGGTTGAGAGTTTAAATCCGACAAACGGGATCGGTAGGTCAGGCTCGCTAACTTGGTAGATACATGTCATCGATCCCAATTGCGTGGATCGATGCGCATGATAATCTTCACTTGATTGGCTGGTCCAGACTCGATTATTCACAGACCGCCGTCATTTAGCTGGAATATGGCTGAGTGTAGCGTTAAACAACAAACAAACCGACCAATATGAGACCACTGAATTTATCCCTGTTACATTATCATTCTATTAGGATTATTGCAATAGGATATTTTGATCAGTAACGATAAACCAGTATGATGAAGCTTCAGCTCTAACGGGGCTGGGAAACATTACACACTTAAAACTATTATCTGTTCCCATATCAAAATGTGACCGTGCAGCAAATAGCTTGTAACATGGCTTAGACAGCTTGATAAGGCGGGATGAGTTGTCTTTCTTTGGACGTTCACTTAGCTTGGTCGGAAACACAAAAGGAAGTTCCCTTCTTCGACAGAAGCAGACTTGGCTGTGGAGAGTTGCGTCCCTTGGGCACGGCAGAAACCTATGATGGTGGCTTCGAATCCCGGTTCGCCCCGATTATGTTTCTAGGTTTATCAGCACCATACCCGGAATCGTGGGTTTCACCGAAGAGGTAAACGTCTGAGACCTGCATCACTTCCGGCTTTCCCACATTAAGCTGACACGCCGCGATAAAACTGGAATACTGTTAAAGGCGGCGTTAAAGCTAACTCACTCACTCACATTGAAATAGGGTAACGGAGAACGCGTATCTGCGCAAGTGTACAGTGCTGAACCATGACATTGCCAATCAAGTCAGTGAAGAACAGGGAACATGAGTCCAGCTTAATGTGAGACACACTAATGAAATCAGAGCTGAACAGTCCTTTTACTGAATGATTTACCACACTCATCCTTTGCAAAACCATCACAGTTGGAACACGGATTTTGTATGATTGATGAGAATTTTGAACTTGTGGGCGAAGGCTACTCACGTAATTGACAGAGAGAAACTACACACAAGAGCACACAACCTGATAATGATCACCCGGTCTTAGGATGGACAAGTCTTTTTATTAGACTTGGACCCGTGAACATCCGGGCTAGAATAGGTCTTCAGCAATCCATACTTGCCGTAAAAGGCGACTAACGGGATCGGGTGGTCAGGCTCGCTGACTTGGTTGATGCATGTCATCGATCCCGATTGCGTGGATCGATGCTCATGTTGTCAATTACTGGATTGTCTGGTCCAGACTCGATTATTTACAGACCACCGTCATATAGCTGGAATATTGCTGAGTGCGGCGTTAAACAACAAACCAAATCAAACCAAAAAAAAGGCGACTATGCTTGTCGTAAAAGGCGACTAACGGATTCGGGTGGTCAGGCCCGCTGACTTGGTTGATGCATGTCATCGATCCCAATTGCGTGGATCGATGCTCATGATATTAATCACTGGACTGTCTGGTCCAGACTCGATTATTTACAGGCCGCCGTCATATAGCTGGAATATTGCTGAGTGCGGCGTTAAACACCAAACCAACTATTTTATTAGACTGATGTTTCTTTTTGGCCTTAGCGGTGGAGAACACTTCTTGGGACCAGACATGCCAGTTTGTTGACAAGATCTATAGGACCTGGTGATAGAAAATATTTCGTGAAACCATTCTTCAGATAGCAAACCGTTTATTTAGACTGATGTATCTTTAGGATTTGGCGGAAGAGGCCAAACGTTTGACGACAGGTGTGTAGATCAGACTGGTGTGGCTTGGTGCATCAAGTAAATGACTTACTATGAATGATCAGAGTTGTTTCCAGAGAGCAACTGCATAAAGGAAGTTATCAAGAAGAGACAGGAGGGAAATCACACGTGCGAGGCATGTCGGATATCATGCAGGTGAGTGAGAGGACACCGTTTCTGACTGATATTATTTTTTATTTTTTATTTATTTTTTTTTCCAATTGCTGATTGGCTGATGTCCTCTGAAATTTTGAACTCAATAACACATCTAGTAATATTTTGAACCCTTTGGACTCTTCGTAAGTACATGAATTTTAAATGGTAAAATTGGGGCTACCAATGGTGTAACATCATAAGTTTCTAAAGATTTTAAATAAACATTTATAGCATTTCTTACCCCGTAAAAGGTTAAACGATTACACGAAACATTGTATTTATTCTCAAATTCTAAGTATGAGTTTCGTTTGTTTGTTTCTTGTTTAAAGCCGCATTCAGCAATGCTCAAGCTATATGGCGGCGGTCTGTATATAATCGAGTCTAGACCAGACAGTCCCGTGATTTCCATCATGAGCATCGATCCACCCATTTCGGATACGATGACATGCATCAACCACATCGGCGAGCCTGACCACCCGATCCCTCTCACGACAAGCACAGTCGCCTTTTACGGCAAGCGCGAAAACCTTTTCTATCCCAGATCTCGCCGTCGGAGTACGATGAATCACAGTTATAAACTACAATAATCATATTTTGCTTGAAACCAATTCTAACGACTTTTGGAAACATGGTAAGAAGTGCCTAAAGTTAGAGTCGTTAGTGTGGGCGTTCGTATGCGAGTGAGTTTTTTTTAACACTGCATGAAAAGTATTTCACTCACATCACGCCGTGTCAGCTTGAGGACACCCAGAAATGATGCAGGTCTTAGACGCTTACCACATATATTTTAGGCGAAAGCCATGACCACAGCAATGGCTCCGTGAAACCTAGAAACATAATCAGGGCAATTGGGGACTTGAACCCCATCATAGATTTCTAGTGTGCCGCAACGACGAATTGCGGTACCACAAACTGGAAATTCAAGATAACCTAAAGTTATCACAATATGTTCTTGTATTATCAAAATAAATAATTCTGTAAATCCAAGAGATAATAGCTGGTTGAACAATGTCAAGAAAATTCATCATAACTGTGGCAAATCACATTTGTTCATTGGACCGCCTCCGTGGTCTACTGGTAGAGCGTCCTCCCGCGGCGCAGAAGGTCCGGGGTTCGATACCCGGCCGCGTCATACCAAAAGACGTTAAAAGATGGTCCTTGTTGGCGCTCGGCATTAAGGGTCGAGACAAGGACTGGTCGGATCGGAGTCAGTATACTGTTTCTGAGTGGGGTATTCATGTTAAACTGCGGCATGGTATCTCAGTGTGCTAGCACTATTAATCGTACATGCACGTCGCTATATAAGTGCAATAATCTTGGACGCGACGTTAAACCCAATTTCACCTCACCTCACATGTGTTCATTGACCTAATCTCAAAGGTAGAGTTAATGTGAAAAGATAAATTTACACACTCATGGCGGATTACTATGTGCAATATTTCCAAAGGAACTTACTGTAAAATACTTAGATCTGTACCATCCTTTGACAAATACCTACTCCTTCCAAGAACAATATCTTTCCCGCTTCTAAATTTTAGAACCTGTAACCATAATTTACCTGTAGAGAATGGCCGCTGGTTTGGTATACCCAGATCAGAAAGAACCTGTACCTTTTGCAAATCGACAGTTATTGATGACGAGTGCCACTAATTATTCAAATGTCAAGCCTTCGATACAATCCGTAGTGGATATATACCAGACGCATGTTACTTAAGGCCTAATCTTTATTAACTCTAACATTTACTGTGTACAACTGTGTTTATTTCCAATGTCTTCAAATACTTAGGAAATATTACTTAAATGTACTCTTCCCGACGGAATGATCACCTTTCGCTGAACATATATTTGTTTGTAAAACACGCTATTATATTACCGTTGGTGGTTCCATGAGAATAAAGAATTGAATTAAATTGAATTGGTAGTTCAGACGAATTGCATGGTCAGTACACAAGGCGAGAAATGTCTCTACGTATCAGTCACGACTGGGGTTTTCTTTCGGACTGATGTCACATTATGATTGTAAGACTGAGTTGACTGTCCCACCTCACGAATGTAAGTTAGTGATTTTAAAGCCGCTGTGATCAGTATTGCTGTCCTATCACGGCGTGTCATCACTATTTTTGAGAAAAGCACGAAGTGATACAGGTCAAAGACGTCTTCCTCTTTGGGTAAATAAAGGAAACATGGGTATCAAATTAAAGTCACGGGTATCAAACAGAAGCATGGGTATCAAAGGTAGTGCGTGTGGACATAACGTGAATGCTTTGATAATCAACATTTAAAAAAAAGTGACACTGAATGCACACGTTTTACAATTCTTGATTTAGACAAAAACAGAAAACAGAAACGTTTTGTTATCGCCCGTACATGAAGCATTTAAAAATATTTATAGACACACATTGACCGTTAATAAAATAAAAGCTTGAGATAATGGGATACTTTGACATTTAAACAACTAGCCTTGTTTTACTTTAGAATTATACATAACAAAAACGTTCCTTTAAGTAGTATATTACTTTGTGTTGACCTTCAGACAGCATGACTACATACAACGTCTCTCCATGGCGACATGGCCCTCGGACCACCACGACATGGCTCTCAAAGCTGCCATCAACGCCAACAATGAGAAGTCACTGGGAGACATTGATACAAGGTAACTCTTCGTGAAACGTTTCTCAAGCTTCCTCTATGGGTTAGTTAACTATTTCAATGCTTTGCATGACTCGACTTGGTATATGGATAATTCCTGTAGACGTTATGAACTGTCAGGGTAAAGGTGATGATGAGTGAGTGAGTGAGTTGGGTTTAACGCCGCTTTTGACAGTATTCCTGTTATATCGCGGCTCGTCAGCGATAATTGGGATCGATGACATGCATGAATCAAGTCAGCGAGCCTGACCACCCGATCCCGTTAGTCGCCTTTTACGACAAGCATTGTCGCCTTTTACGGCAAGCATGGGTTGCTGAAGACCTAGTCCTCACCGGATCTTCACGGGTCTTTCTATGATGTAGTCATTCACCTTCCACTGATGTTTTTGTATGCTTTTACAGGAAGAACCTGGTGTCCCTCAATGTCTTCTTCTCGGAGCTGACTGAGGAGATCGTGCAGGAGGAGCCAGCGTACATGGTGGGAAATCCTCTTCTCCATCCGGAACTGTTTTGTTGTTGTTCTCTTTTGTCAAATGAGAGTTACTTATAGAGAGATTAAACAAGCAATGAAAAATGAATAATATTTCAATGCTAAATTTCAATTGTTACCTGTACTATTTTGTAACTGTATTTGTTATTTTGGACGACGAAATAAGCTCGAGTCAAACGAAACAGTTACAATCTGATGTAGATTTATCAGAATATCAGAAAATCTAATAATGATAACAAGATGTAGGAATTGGCCAGGACGGACAATCAGTTTGACACAACTGAGATTGTGTCTCATTTATCCGAATGGCCGACACAACGAAATCATCCACGTAATTCATAATAGAAAATTCATTATATTCATGCTATCTATATTCACTTTCGTTGCAGGTTCTTCAATTCAGTTATCCAGTTTTGGCGTTTTTGCATAACTCGGGAGGTAAGGCCGATATTCGCCATGTGAGACGAAACACATGTCCAAGTTTTTAAAAAACCTCTACACATCGGATTACACGGACTTTGTCGACTTACCTCCACTGTTCTATTTCAGTGGGAGAACTTGTTGAGTGACATCGGAGGCCAGCTGGGATTGTGGCTGGTATATCAGCCCTGTCCCTGTGCGAAGTTCTGGAGCTCGTCCTCTTCATGATCGGCAACTGCTTTAAGAGCAAGACAGGCAACAATGTTACCCACGTGACGGACGTCAATACAAGTTGAAGGCACACGGATGTTGGTTGGTTGGTTGGCTGGTTTGTTGTTTTACGCAGCACTCAGCAATATTCCAGCTATATGACGGCGGTCTGTAAATAATCGAGTCTGGACCAGACAATCCAGTGATTAATATCATGAACATCGATCCACGCAATTGGGACCGATGACATGCATCAACCAAGTCAGCGAGCCTGACCACCCGATCCCGTTAGTCGCCTTTTACGACAAGCATAGTCGCCTTTTACGGCAAGCATGGGTTGCTGAAGACCTATTCTACCCCGGATCTTCACGGGTCCTGGTGTGTGCATCACAGGGAGCTTGCGTTTGTATCACATTCTGTTTTATTGTTTTGAAAATATTTCTTGAAGGATGTTGTACGTCTCAGACAACATCTGCAATGGGTACATCACAGGTGGCCTTATAGGTACTCTTTTCGGAGCCTCGTTTCAATTTGCTGTTGGATGGAGACCTGTTTATCAACGCCAAGGTGAGCGTTACATGCACGCTGCAGTCGCTGGAGCACGGTAGGTTTGGCAGTTGGTCCTTGATGTTCGGGGTTGGCATCAGCATGAATGCTTAGACGGGCCTCATTAATATTGTTGCGCAAGGCACCACGACGGGCCAGAAATATAAAGATAAAACACCATTTATGCCCGTTGTGCCATTCTCTTATGTTAGAAGAAAATATGATACCAAGGAATAAACGGTTATGCCCATTTTGTATTATACAAGAAATAGAAACTGAATACCATTTTAGAATGTCCCTTCAATTCTGATCTTAGACATAACATTCCTCTGTTATATTATTGGGAATTCCCTAACCATGTGAAATTCAAACAGTTACTATGTTGTAACTCCCGTACTAAAATATCTTGCAAAGTATATACTAGTAGTTTTAGCTGAAAAAGGAGAGACAATTATTTTAAGGATACCAGGTATATGTTACAAAAAATAAAATTCTGTGTCCTCTGCGATGTATCTTATATAGCTGATCAGGTAGAGTCAAGCCACCTTCCAGTAACATTCACTTTTTCATAACAATGTGATAAACCTACAAGAAAATGTAATAAATCTAAAAGAAACCTAGACAGTTAATTAACCCCTAATACCCGGTTCACTTAGAAAGAGGTTTGTAAGTTGGACTTGTTGAGAACTGGATGAACTAGTGTGTGAGTTGGGTTTAACGCCGCTTTTAACAGTATTCCAGTTATATCACGGCGTGTCAGCTTGATGTGGGAGGAAAGCCCGAAGTGATGCAGGTCTCAGGCGTCTACCACTCCGGCGAAACCCACGAGCACGGGTATGGTGCTCACAAACCTAGAAACATAATCGGGGCGAACCGGGATTCGAACCCACAATCATAGGTTTCTGGCGTGCCCAAGGGACGCAACTCTGCACAGCGAACCGCGGCGCCTTAGACGACTGGGCCACCCGTGCCCCCTACTGGAAGAACCAACCAGTCATTACGTAACTGATTTCTCTGAATATTTAGCAAATTATGATTGTAACACTGCATCAGAGTTCTTTACAAACATGATGAAAACTTGTGCTAAAAACCCTGCGATGACTTGTATGGTGAAGATTACGTTGTGGCACGTGACATCATAACGACTTCGGCTGCAGCTTTTTCATTCTTCCAATAGTTCAGCAGACCTTCAACAATATATGAGTGAGTGAGTACGGTTTTACGCCGCTTTTAGCAATATTCCAGCAATATCACGGCGGGGGACACCAGAATTGGGCTTCACACATTGTACCCATGTCGGGAATCGAACACGGGTCTTCGGCGTGACGAGTGAACGCTTTAACCACTAGGCTACCCGACCGCCCCCAACACTATACCATACTGCATGGAGATGCCACAAAGATCCATGTGTCAACAAAGCCCAATATTATATTCTGTATTTGATATACTTAATATTATTGTTAAATTATTGTGGTTGTCACCGTGCTGTATCATATTAGACTGCAGCTCCATCTATGCGCTCTTTTAGGAAAATTATATGTATGCTTGAAACTGTTGCATGGGCCGCTAATAAAAAGCATAAATAATTATGTTGTGTTACGGTTTCTGAGGAGTATAAGAGGTCGGTGTTTCAGGACAACAATGCAAGGCCACACAGATCTAGGAGTGTCTACAGGGACACCCTATCAAACCAGAATGAGCTTCAATCATTGCACCTGGAGGAAAATAGAAGCCAGGGCTTTGGTGTGACAAAAGACCACACGAACATCCCCGGGTGTCTGTGCCTTCAAGTGAGACAACATCATGCAATTTTAATAAGTATGAATAATACTTATCACCTCCTCATTAATCTTGCATCTACTAGTATTTGATTGTTGGTTGGTTGGTTTGTTGTTTAACGCCGCACTCAGCAATATTCCAGCTATATGACGGCAGCCTGTAAATAATCAAGTCTGAAACCAGACAATCCAGTGATTGATATCATGAGCATCAATCCACGCAATTGGGATCGTTGACCGTGCATCAACCAAGTCAGCGAGCCTGACCACCCGATGCATCTATTTGATGTGAAAGCATTTACAGAGAAGATGCAAAGGTCATAATCATCAGCAGATAACAAGGGGAAATAAAATAAGTCTAAAACAAGAGATAAAAATTATAGAGTAAAATGTTTTATTGTATTAGTCACCACACCATGTAAGTACTTGTATAATGGATGCCAGATCCAACATCAGGCAATTTGTTCAGCACATGGGACATTTATAGTCACCCTCAGACTCTGCTAACTTGAAAATATTGATAGCTTGTGTGTTGTTTAATGCTGCACTTTGCAATATTCCAGGTATATGACAGCGGTCTGTAAATAATCAAGTCAGGACACTGTCCACTGATGGACATCAGAAGCATAAAAAACACAATTGGGATACGATGACATGCATCAAACAAGTCAACGAGTCTGACCACCCGATCTTGTTTGTTTCCTCTTCAGACAAGCATTGGTAGCTGAAGATCAATTCTAACCCAGACCTTCACTGGTAACTGACCCGTGAAGATTCCGGGGTGGAATAGGTCTTCAGCAAACCATTCTTGCCGTAAAAGGCGACTATGCTTGTCATAAAAGGTGACTAACGGTATCGGGAGGTCAGGCTCACTGACTTGGTTGATACATGTCATCGATCCCAATTGCGTGGATCGATGCTCATGATGTCAATCACTGGATTGTCTGGTCCAGTCTCAATAATTTTACAGACCGCTGTCATATAGCTGGAATATTGCTGAGTGCGGCGTTAAACAACAAACAAACAACAAACAAATCACTGGTACCTTGAAAACAAGTTCCACATGTCCCAATTATCTTTTCACATGAACTTTGATTGTTAATGCTCTGTGTTCGAAAGAACAAGGTATGCATAGACAGTCTGTACATTATGTTAGAAAGGAGCACAACGTCTACAAATCATTGTGAAAGATTTAACATCTGCTCATGTAAATGAGAACGAGACTTTGTTCTTTTGGACACGGTTTGGATTAATCACAACACAATTATAAGGATAAAATGCATCAAGATGGTTTGAAACGTTTTCAAGAAACACGTTCTTAATATTTAAAAATGAGCAATCTTTGACCCAAGCTGATCTATTCAGACATGTAGATAGCTACAGTTTGAACAAAATTAAAAAAAGTCAATTTGGGTCACACTTGCTCATCGATTGTCTGGTGAAGTTTGAAAATCTGCCTATTTCACTCATGTTAGCCATTTTATGTACTAAATCATGATAAAACTTGCATGTGTAAAATAAAAAATGGCTAGTCGTCAAACATTTGAACATGTCTTGAAAATTTTCATACCAATATTTCAAAGAATACCATAATCTGACATTTTCCATGGGCCAAAAAGGGGTGTAATCATACCTCATTCTTTGGTTAGTATTAGAAGATATATTGATATATCAAATATTGACAGGATGGCAAACACTGTTTTGACTATCAATAAGGGGATACACAAATATGGATATTTTATCCAACATAGTCAGGTGCAGATATGTACCAGATTATTCATGGTCATAAGCATAAATCCAATGCATTTGTTCAGCAGTCATCCTTAAACAGTTTCATGAGTGAGTGAGTGAGTGAGTTTGGTTAAACGCCGCTTTTAACAGTATTCCAGTTATATCACGGCGTGTCAGCTTGATGTGGGAGGAAAGCCCGAAGTGACGCAGGTCCCAGACGTTTACCACTTCGGTGAAACCCATGAGCACGGGTATGGTGCTGACAAACCAAGAAACATAATTGGGGCGAACTGGGATTCGAACCCACAATCATAGGTTTCTGGCGTGCCCAAGGGACGCAACTCTGCACTGCAAATCGCGGCGCCTTAGACGACTGGGCCACCCGTGCCCCCCAGTTTCATGAAACCATCGTTAAGTGTCATATACAGATGAGAAGATACATGGGTGAGACAGGCCACACACTTCCACTGTTATACTTTTCCTAACCCATTAGCTTGAAATTGGCCGGTAGCTTGGGTTGGACAAAATAAATATAATCTTGTGTAGCTCAATATTTGTTAATTTTACTTGGCATAAAAGTTGTGTTGGTCTGTTCACACATGTATATGTATATATGCATTTGATCAACTAACACTTAAACTGTTAATAATCATTTTAATTTTGTATGTTTCTTTTTAAGATGACTGTTTTTCTAATCCATCAAAAATGGAACATTAGGGCAAATAGAAATAAATTTTAACTATTTCCATTAATTTTCTCATTTCGGTTTTGGCAACTGTCGGTTGAATCGATAAACAATAAAATAAAGGGTCTTTTTCTACTTTGAACAGTATTAGAGCAGAGCTCCAGATAAGCTGCGTATCTGCGTGAAATACGCATCAGAAATGCAGAAATACACAGTAAAATATAATCCAAGCGTATCAAATACGCAACGAACATTACAGATACGCTACAAAAATAAAACGTGTGTATCATCAAAATATTGTGAAGTAACCCTGCGTATTCGATTAGCAAATCAGCAACTTATTTTTAAATTATAAACGGGCATCCCGTCAACCTTGCCAAACTCCACGATGACAGTTACATCATGATCATTTGCCATCACACTTTCTTGTGGAAGTATCATGGTATTTTTGAGTCCTATAAAGCTCTCGAACCCACACGACACCAGTTTGCAGGGACTAGAAGAATAGTGTTTTTAAATATTTAACTTAAATACCCACATGTGTAAAAACTAGTGGGTAACAGAAATTTGAATACGCAGATAGAATTACTGATGCCCAATGATTTTAAAATGCATGGGTAAAATACCAACAACACCAAAAGCTTATCTGGAGCTCTGATTAGAGTGATATCACAGCTAAAGTATCGGTGAAGGTAAAAGCATCATAAATATTCACAACTTTGGTAAAAGTGAGTTAGATTAACACTACACTTGTACTATCCGTGTTTATGGACACACAACATGGTGAACATGCACTTTACAAATAGAGTCATTCAGGAATACATAGGAGCCAACAAAAACCAGAGAGAGAAAAAACACACATAAAGCTATGTATGCTTATAACAAGCAAGGATATATCAAACTAACATACGAAATGACATATTCCTATCAATATTTTAAAATAAAATAATATGTCAAATGTTACTTTTTTCCTCTTGCTTGATTGAGCTGTTGACAAAATGTCTGCTTCTCAGAAATGACAAAAATAGCTGGAAATAATACTATTCAGTCCATGACTTTACAAACCAGTTGATAGAGACAATGAAAAACATTGCTTCAACTTCATGCAATGTATCTTTGCAACACAATCATCAATGAGAATTAAAAACATTACAAAATGCTAAAATGTCACAACAATGTCTAACAAATGAATTTAATCAAAGACAAACTACCTCGTGTTTAACTACGATTGTGGATAAAACATATATCACAAATGTTTTCTAGTCAGCCAATACTGGCCCTTATCCAACCTTGTTCTGTCCTAGTAATTGAATTACCATATTCGACGTATTAAGCGCCCAGGGCGCTCTCAAAATTAGAAATAGGGGGCTCTTATTAGAATATAATTTTGGTGAAAGAGTTGAAAGATCGTAAATTTAGTGGTTTATGCCGACAGCCTGAAATGATACAAAAGAAAAGTCTGTGCGTATTATTCATGACACATATATTTTTCCAGAATTTAATTGCCCGTAATTAAGGGTGCATATAACACACAAGTGCGTATTATACATGAATAAATAAGTCTTGTGTACACTGGTCAATGGGAAGAGTGCTAATTTGGATTGTTCACTAGCTAATATATAAGCAAATATTGTCGTGGGCGCTTATTAGAGAGGGGCGCTTATTACGTCGAATATGGTATGTCTATGGAGAAATGATCTTCTGCACATAACATTACAGCAAAACTGTCAGAACACTTCCCACATAATACTAAAACATTTGTTTGTTTTCAAGGATAACAACTTTATTATACTGTAATTGGGATGTTTCAGTATAGAGTCATATACCACTGTCAAGCAAGAGGCTATACCGAAACATCGCAATTACATTATAATAAAGAAATTCTTATCCATAAAAAGGGATTTTGTCGACTTTGTCATCCCTCAACTTCTAAGAGTGAGTGAGTGAGTGAGTGAGTTTGGTTTTACGCCGCTTTTAGCAATATTCCAGCAATATCACGGCGGGGGACACCACAAATGGGCTTCACACATTGTACACATTGTACCCATGTCGAACCCGGATTCGAACCCGGGTCTTCGGCGTGACGGGCGAACGCTTTAACCACTAGGCTACCCGACCGCCCCTCAACTTCTAAGAAATGCCTGTCAAACAATGCATATAAACTGTGTTTAACAATACTTTAACAGAGAGAATGCTTTCTACATAATGCTTATATTATACACTGTGTCAGACAATACAGGAATACCGAGAGACAAGGTTAGGGTTAGGGTTAGGGTAAGGGTTAGGGTTAGGGTTGGCACTTCCTATATGGTACACAAGCCAGCACTTTAGAAATGCCGTCATAAAAATTGCTGGTCACAGCCAATTACAACAAAAAAGAATATCAATATCAGCCAATGCTGCAAGACCAAAAGACATTAAAAGATGGTACTTGTTGTTACCCTGTCTGGCGCTCGGCATTAAGGGGTTAAAGCAAGGACTGGTCGGCTCGGAGTCAGTATACTGTTTCTGAGTGGGGTATTCATGTTAAACTGCGGCGTGGTATCTCAGTGGGCTAGTACTATAAATCGGCATCAGTCCGGTCTAGTACAAGCAGCCACACGCACACACACGTGCATGCACGTCGCTATATCAGTGCAAAAATCTTGGACGCAACGTCTCTTCTCGCCTCGCCTCGCCTCGCCTCACCTCACCTCACACTGACTCTGGAGTCACCAGTTCTTGTTTTATACCCTTATGAATAACAACAATGCCCATTGCCAGACAGGGAAACATATTTAACATATTTTGGTAAGTTTCTTTATTCAGAATTTATAAATAATTTATTACAACCCAGAAAACAAGTTTTACTTGCAATCAACCATGACAAAGCTGCTCACAACACAATGTTAAAATATTTACAAAATCAAAAAGACAAGGAGGATGTTGGTTAAGTCATATGCTAAAAAATAGGTTTTTTTACTGACTTTCACACATTTAATTTAAAAGTTAAAAGCCAAGAAAGTTTGAGTGTGACTGACAATATGCTTTAAAAAGTTTAATAGTAGATATGTGGAAGACATTTCCAAATCTGACAAAGATCAGTGACAAAAATGATGTCAGATGAAATTCGCTATTTTTTTTACCAAACATCCCTGTGTTTTCTCAGGTGAACTGACTTGCCTTTGCATGTGTTTGTGATGGGTGCCACTGGTGGGGCAGGATACACTCACCTTTTCACGAACACCTGGTATCATCACTATCTGACAGTGATTCATAAACACATCCTCATGACATTGTTGGAATTGTGCAATCAACTCTGTTTTTGGCAGGTTTTTTATGAACATGGAAAGGGTACCCGTCTTGTCTCTTTTATTTATTAAGAACATCACTGTGTCTGTATTTGATTAACACCTTTCACTCAAAAGTCTTTCTCAGAAAATGTAGCTCAAATCAGCAATAACATTATATATTTTCTTCCAAATCTGTAGAACAATAATCTTATGAGTCTTACATCACCTATGAAATCAATAAACAGTTACATTGATTGACAATTCAGACATTTGTTTGACTTAATTGTTTGACTTAATTGTTTGACTTAATGTTAGATCAATACTACAATTCCACCATGCATGAAGCATTCTGGGAAAAAAAAATCAAAAAATCATTAAAACTGAATTTACTATTAAACATATGAATTTTCAAAAGTTATGTTATATAGACCTAGAGACACATTCACTTGACACAGGCACCAATACAAAATCAATGACATGTTTGGATGAGACTGAATGACTAACATCATCTTTGGCGTTGTCCATAAACGGGCAAGAAAGGCATGGAGGTATGCAACAACGGCCTCAAATATTGTTGAATGATGCTCTTCAATTTTTGTTTCCATGAAAGATAATCAATGTTTTGTTTGTTGTGTTTGTTGTTTAACACCACTCTCAGCAATATTGCAGTATATGATGGTGGTCTGTAGATAATGAAGTCTGGATAAGACAATCCTGTGATAGACATCACGAGCATCAATCCACGCGATCAGGACATGAAGACATGCATCAACCAAGTCAGCCAGCCGGACCACCCGATCTTTTACGACAAGCATAGTCGCCTTTCATGGTTTGCTGAAGATTTCTGGCATTTGCCCCATTATATCCCCTTCACCAACACACACCCCTTGACAACCCCTAAGCACCTACAATACACGTCACAAGTCTGTTTTTCTGTGTATGATAAACCTACTTTCCCAAAGCGAAAACATCACCAGTATATGCATCAATTTTTTGCATACATTCTGCAGCATTCATTGCCCTGCAAACAACAGAATCAGAAACAATTTGATTCCAGTGGGCTGATATGACATCCAACCATCACCAACATCACAACAGTCCCTACAGATTCTCACCATGTATAAGACAAATAATTTAGGCTGACATTTTCAATTTGGAATTAACCCCACAAACACATCGCCAAGACATTATTGCCCACCAGGTTCACCAAAAGCGAGTTGAAAGCTATAATATCAGGGGGCACAGGTGGCCCAGTCATCCAAGGCACCACGATTCGCTGTGCAGAGTTGCATCCCTTGGGCACGCCAGAAACCTATGATTGTGGGTTCGAATCCTGGTTCGCCCTGATTTTGTTTCTAGGTTTGTCAGCACCATACCCTTGCTCGTGGGTTTCACCGAAGTGGTAAACGTCCCAGACCTGCATCACCTCGGGCTTTCCTCCAACATTAAGCTGACACGCCGTGAAATAACTGGAATACCGTTAAAACCGGCGTTAAACCCAACTCACTCACTCACTATAATATCAAATAATTGTTATCATTGTTGATAATGTTAAGAATACAACCTCTATTACATTATGGGATAATCTAGCCCACCACCCTAATGTTCTGCCTCTGGTTTGCTGCATGGAAGTTTAAGAAAAGAGATACTATTAGTATCACAACTAAATAGGGATAGCTGACAGTGAAGAGGACTTGTGTTGAAAATCTAAAGATTCTACAGCGTGATGACAGCAGAAGTACAGGATTTCTGGCACTGATGTAATAAAGGTTTTGTATTTGTAGGAATTATATATATTGTGGAACCTCTTGCCATCAAATACAGAAAGTGTTCCTGTGTAAGGTGGCCTGATTGTCGTGGAAGGACAATATGACCTCTACGTCGTATTCTTAAAACTTTAGCATTTTCAAAGTACACTGTACAGTAACAGGCTTACATGGAAAGTATCACCACATTTGGTCAATAAGTCTGTGAGACATAAAGTCAAAAGTAAACAGAGGGGTGCACATGAAGACGACAGACAGTTCACTTGGAATTTCAGTCCTTCAGAGTTAAAACAAAAATAGAGAATCACTTGATATTATGACAAATTAGAAAATCTTCTTTCATCATTGCAAGATTTTCATACAAGTTTCAGAAAAACATCACAACCCTATCATCAATGATTATGCTCGATTTTTGCAAATACATGTAGCAACCAATTCTCCAATGGACAAAAATAACACATGGAATTAAACACATGAATGAGTTAGTAAATGAGTGATGCCATCAATAACGTATCTATTTTGGCAATGTGACTCAGTAATTAGAAACAAAGTACACGTTATTTTGGCTGTTTATTAATTATTCAGTGCATTTTATGATAACCTTTACTTGTTTGCATGTTTAAGAGATTTAGCTAGGATTCCAAAAGCATTGCCCTTTCACACAACTAGGAAATATTCTAATTAAAAATTCGGATTTCATAAAACTACTCATTTTCTTACTTTCAATTGTATTTTAACATCATAACTGTAATTGTAACTTTGGATTCAATTCTTTCATCCGTACACTTTGACATCAGTACACTTTGACATAGTACTCTCTGACATAGTAAACTTTGACAAAGTACACTTTGACATAGCACTCTCTGACATAGTACACTTTGACATAGTACCCTTTGACATAGTACACTTTCACATAGTACCCTTTCACATAGTACACTTTTACATCAGTACACTTTCACATAGTACACTTTGTTTGTTTGTTGTTTAACGCCGCACTCAGCAATATTCCAGCTATATGACATCATGAGCAACGATCCACACAATTGGGACACAATGACATGCATTAACCAAGTCAGCGAGCCTGACCACCCGACCCCATTAGTCGCCTTTTACGACAAGCATAGTCGCCTTCTATGGCAAGCATGGGTTGCTGAAGAACTAATCTACCACGGATCTTCACAGGTCCATGGTGCATTTTGACATAGTATACTTTGACATCAGTACTTTTACACTTTTATGTCAGTACACTATAACATAGTAAACTTTGACATCATTACACTTTGACATCAGTACACTTCGACAGTGTATACCTTGACATCAGTACACTTTAACATAGAATACTTGGACATCAGTACACTTTAACATAGTATACTTGGAGATCAGTACACTTTAACATAGTATGCTTGGAAATCAGTACACTTTAACATAGTATACTTGGACATCAGTACACTTTAACACAGTATATTTGGACATCAGTACACTTTAACATAGTATACTTGGACATCAGTACACTTTAACACAGTACACTTTGACATAGTACACTTTGACATAGTACACTTTGACATCAGTACACTTTGACAAAGTACACTTTGACATCAGTACACTTTGACATCAGTACACTTTGACATCAGTACACTTTGACATCAGTACACTCTGACATAGTACACTTTGACATAGTACACTTTGACATCAGTACACTTTGACATCAGTACACTTTGACATAGTACACTTTGACATCAGTACACTTTGACATCAGTACACTTTGACATCAGTTCACTTTGACATCAGTATACTTTGACATCAGTATACTTTGACATCAGTACACCTTGACATCAGTACACCTTGACATCAGTATACTTTGACATAGTACACTTTGACATCAGTACACTTTGACATAGTACACTTTGACATAGTACACTTTGACATCAGTACACTTTGACATAGTACACTTTCACATCAGTACACTGTGACATCAGTATACTTTGACATCAGTACACTTTGACATAGTACACTTTGACATCAGTACACTTTGACATAGTACACTTTGACATCAGTACACTTTGACATCAGTACACTTTGACATAGTACACTTTGACATCAGTACACTTTGACATCAGTTCACTTTGACATCAGTATACTTTGACATCAGTATACTTTACCATCAGTACACCTTGACATCAGTACACTTTGACATCAGTACACTTTGACATAGTACACTTTGACATAGTACACTTTGACATCAGTACACTTTGACATCAGTACACTTTGACATAGTACACTTTGACATAGTACACTTTGACATCAGTACACTTTGACATCAGTACACTTTGACATAGTACACTTTGACATAGTACACTTTGACATCAGTACACTTTGACATAGTACACTTTGACATAGTACACTTTGACATCAGTACACTTTGACATAGTACACTGTGACATCAGTATACTTTGACATCAGTACACTTTGACATCAGTATGCTTTGACATAGTACACTTTGACATCAGTACACTTTGACATCAGTATGCTTTGACATAGTACACTTTGACATCAGTATTTTGACATCAGTACACTTTGACATAGTACACTTTGACATCAGTACACTTTGACATCAGTACACTTTGACATCAGTACACTTTGACATCAGTACACTTCGACATCAGTACACTTCGACATTGTACACTTTGACATCAGTATAATTTGACATCAGTACACTTTGACATCAGTACACTTTGACATCAGTACACTTTGACATAGCACACTTTGACATCAGTACACTTTGACATCAGTACACTTTGACATCAGTATACTTTGACATCAGTATACTTTGACATAGTACACTTTGACATCAGTACACTTTGACATAGTACACTTTGACATCAGTACACTGTGACATCAGTATACTTTGACATCTGTACACTTTGACATCAGTACACTTTGACATCAGCATACTTTGACATCTGTACACTTTGACATCAGTACACTTTGACATCAGTATACTTTGACATCAGTATACTTTGACATCAGTACACTTTGACATCAGTACACTTTGACATCAGTATACTTTGACATAGCACACTTTGACATAGCACACTTTGACATCAGCACACTTTGACATCAGTACACTTTGACATCAGTACACTTTGACATCAGTACACTTTGACATCAGTACACTTTGACATCTGTACACTTTGACATCAGTACACTTTGACATCAGTATACTTTGACATCTGTACACTTTGACATCAGTACACTTTGACATCAGTATACTTTGACATCAGTACACTTTGACATCAGTACACTTTGACATCAGTATACTTTGACATAGCACACTTTGACATAGCACACTTTGACATCAGTACACTTTGACATCAGTACACTTTGACATCAGTACACTTTGACATCAGTATACCTTGACATAGTACACTTTGACATCAGCACACTTTGACATCAGTACACTTTGACATCAGTACACTTTGACATCAGTACACTTTGACATCAGTACACTTTGACATCTGTACACTTTGACATCAGTACACTTTGACATCAGTACACTTTGACATAGCACACTTTGACATCAGTACACTTTGACATCAGTACACTTTGACATCAGTACACTTTGACATCAGTACACTTTGACATAGCACACTTTGACATCAGTACACTTTGACACAGTACACTTTGACATAGCACACTTTGACATCAGTACACTTTGACATCAGTACACTTTGACACAGTACACTTTGACATCAGTACACTTTGACAGCAGTACACTTTGACACAGTACACTTTGACATAGTACACTTTGACATCAGTACACTTTGACATCAGTACACTTTGACACAGTACACTTTGACATAGCACACTTTGACATCAGTACACTTTGACATCAGTACACTTTGACACAGTACACTTTGACACAGTACACTTTGACATCAGTACACTTTGACATCAGTACACTTTGACACAGTACACTTTCACACAGTACACTTTGACATAGTACACTTTGACATCAGTACACTTTGACATCAGTACACTTTGACATCAGTACATAGTGACACTAGTACACTGTACTGTTCACCAATTTGAAATCACACATCTCGTCATTTTCCTTCCAAAACCAGTGGTGAAACTTGCGAGCTCGCCTCATCTTGGCCTTGTTGCCGGTGACCCAGTTATTGTTGATGATGAGGGGTCTGAGTGTCTTCTTTTTCTCTTCATCCATCTTGTACCACCGACCATCAGCAAATTTATCTAAAGACACAGCAGTTACTTCAACAGACCCATATTTCCTACCAATCAAGTGGGACAGGTACATTTGATCATTATCACCTTCTGATAAGGACATTGAACCATCCATCTTTAGAATCCTTTGCTCAAGCTTCATCAGCTTTTGAGTCAGCATCCCCCACAGATTGACCACCTTGCTGTTGGGGATCATATAGAGGAAGCCCCCTCCCAGAATCCCTGGCCTGTCACTGACCTTCGTAGCAAGAAGGTCATAGCCCCTAATTTCCCTCTGACATTCAGGGATCGGGTCTGTGAGCCACAAACAGTCCACCTCAAACAGAAGGAGCTCCACTTGGTGTTTGAGTAGTTCCAAAATGATCGTAGTCCTCCGGATCATGATTCTCACATACCCAACATGACTGTACACCTGGTCTCCACTAAACCCCTCACCTCCTGGTAGCAGGAAAACATGGATGTCCGGCCACAATCGAGTCAGAGTGTCACGACTCAGTTTATCAGTTACAATGATGAGCACCTGTTTGTGTATGCCCATATATTTAGTATTGCACAACCAGCTGTGTGTGAAAGGAAGGTATGCATCATTGATGATAGTAATCAGAACCGGGCCATCAGTTATTTTCTGAGCAATCTGAAGAATTCTTTCCGATTGTTTTGATTCTCCATGATAACTTACATCATCTGACATTATTGGTTGGAAGTCATTCTTGTGCATCAACTTCTTGTGCTTGCTGGAGGGGAGGAAGAAGTGGCTGTAGATGAAGGTGATGAAACAGAAGATGAGCATGAGCAAGATGTAACGCCTGCGGTAGGTGAAGGCCATGCCGTTGATGATGGTGTCGAGAGACTATGATGCATGCTGATACCCTCTACTAGTTGATAAGTGTCTTCCTTTGTTCAGATCTTTGGCCTGCCAAAAGAGGAGAATTTGAATATAATTATAGGTACAGAAGCTCACCTTTATGACAAATTCCAGGCAGATACCATTCGATAAATCCTTTTGAACGAGTGGTAAAATGTGTCCGAGACTGATAACATATATTGGTTGTCATGCCTGGTTGCCATAATTTAACCAAAAATTTATGAAATTATTGAATATTGTATTCGACATAATAAGCGCTCAGGGCACTCTCAAAATTAGAAATAGGGGGCTTTTATTAGAATATTATTTTGGTGAAAAACAACAGAGTTGAAAGATAGTAAATTTCGTGGTCTAGCTGACAGCCTGAAATGTTTATATACGACAGATATATTTTTCCAGAATTTAATTTCCAATAATTAAGGATGCATATAACACACGTATTATACACTAACAAATAAGTCTTGTGTACATTGATCAATCAGAAGGGGTGCTAATTGGGATTGTTCACTAGCCAATAAATTAGCAAATATCGCCGCTTAGTAGAGCGGGGTGCTTATAACATCGATTACGGTAATTAAAAACATTTCAGAGTAGGCTTTAGTCAGAGAAATAGGAAATAAAAGAGCAAAAGAAAGAAAACAATATTGTTACCATGATGTCAGTGTCTGAAGGTTGATCAGAATATTGAACATGATCTTCTATGGAAATTATGAAACATTGCTTTAATCATATATTTCACTAATAGTGGTGGATAGTTACATCCCTATCTCCAAATGTTTGGTTTGTTTGTTCGTTTGTTGTTTAATGCCGCACAAAGCAATATTCCAGCTATATGACAGCGATCTGTAAATAATCGAGTCTGGACCAGACAATCCAGTGACTGACATCATCAGCATCGATCCACATAATTAGCATACAATGACATGCATGCATCAACCAAGTCAGGGAGTCTGACCATCCAATCCCATTAGTCAACTCTTATGACAAGCATACTCGCCTTTTACGGCAAGCATGGGTTGCTGAAGACCTATTCTACCCCGGATCTTCACGGGTCCCAAATGTTTTGGAACAATCGTCAAAAATGAAAGTTAATGTCATTTGAAGTTTACTGAGAAACTATGTGAAATGCTGGACTTCCTAACAGCTAACATCTAAGTGAAATTTTAGGATGTGACATTTAAACAAAAAGTAGGCATCCCCACGTGCACCAATTGTGCTCCCCTTCTTGCTGATCTGATTCTTCTTTGGCAGAATATAAAAAAATGGAAATTTTGCCAGGACTTTAACTTACTTCTGGTATTTTCATGATTTAATATCAATTAATAATCATGAAAAAGCTAATTCATTTTCACTTATTTACCCACCTGAACTACCGTAATAAGCGCCCCGCTCTAATAAGCGCCCACGGCGATATTTGCTAATATATTGGTTAGTACACCATCTCAATAAGCACCTCTTCGGATTGATCAATGTACACAGGACTTATTTATTCGCGTATAATACGCACTTGTGTGTTAGATGGACCCTTAATTATGGGCAAGAAAATTCTGGAAAAATATATCTGTTGTATGTAAACATTTCAGGCTGGCAGCATAAACCACAAGATTTACAATCTTTCAACTGTTTTTGTTACCAAAATGATATTCTAATAAGAGCCCCCCATTTCTAATTTTGAGAGCACCCTGGGCACTTATTACGTTGAATCCAGTAATCATAAAAGAGAACAGGAACTCTGCCTCTTCTGTGATTTTAGATACAGATCTATGTATAAAGATTCAGTGACAAAAACTATCCACAAGACAAGGAATGAAGTGCATGACACCAACAAATTTCACTTATTGGAGTATAAAGAATTATATTACGGTAGCCCCAGAACCTTGGAAGATAGATCCCCCAATGTGCAAAATGCATGCACTTCGGCCCTCTAGCGTACTACAGAGGCATGTACCCACTGAAAATTATAACATCTAGACTGCAAATGATGCAGTTCAAAGCCATTAGGAGCAAAAATTAAAGACCATTCTCAAACATATTTCTTGCTGTATTTCAAGCTGGATAAATGAATTGATGTTGTCCATGTTGTCAAATTGACAAGATGAACGAAGTCTGAACAATTTTAAAATGAGTAAGCAAACTTCATTCATTTATCATTGGCAATCAGTCTAGCTTACTTTTTCACATCATAGACGGATCAGAATTTTGATAGACATGGGCCATAGCGTTAGTATGTTCATTTCCGAGTTATTCCGATTGTTGGAAATATGAGGTATTGCGAATGTCAGGCTGGAAGTAGCATGGTCGGGGATCCCAAAAAGATGGCAGCCCGCATGTGTTTTGTGATCAAGTCCCGGTGTATCGTCAGGCGTAATAAAGCCTCTGCAAATCAAGACAACTGAACTGTGTCTTTATCATTGGTCCAACGAGGTTGGAAACTTGGTGTCAGAAGTGGGATCACGCAATCTATAGAAGCGGAGGTAGGCCAGATTTATTCAAACTCGAATCAACTAAGAGCACATGCAATGGTGGGACTTTCGAAGCGACCTGAGCTCAAGCTTTCGGGGAACGTGGCTGAAAACTTCAAGAATTTTGAAGTTCAGTTCAATGACTATTGTATTCAGGCGGATTACAGAAATCTAGATTAAAAACCCAAATACTGAACAAATAGACTACTACAAGAAGCCAAAATTGGAAATATTGTCGCTAAGGTCGGCGATGCCAGATGAAGCACTACAGGTCGTGAGATACACTATAGAACCTCAAATAGTAGAAGAAGATAGGAATAAACCATGGGTATGGATGGAAAAGTTACGTATCTTCTACACAGGAGCCGTCGGTAGTTCACTGATGACAGATAGATTCAGATTTTGGAATACTAATCAGCTACCACACGAAACAGTACAAGAATGGGAGGTCAAGGTCAGACAATCAGGTAGCTTGTGTGCCTATGCAGCAGTGGGAGATGAAATGTGCCGTGACAAATTTGTATTTGGTCTGCATGACAGCAACATTAGAACTGAACTTTTAAAGACACACTTGAAATCAGACAATAGTAAGAAGTTATTGTCAGATGTTGTCAGTGAAGCCAAAGCCCTTGAATCTGCACAGAAGGCTAATAAACTTATTAATGAATCATCAAAGAATATTGATGAACCGGTACACTGGACTCGTCACAAAGAAATGAAGCTGAAGAGAGAGCCAGGCACAAGCCATTGGTGTGGAGATAGACGAGGCCCTCATTCATGGAAGGTGTGCCCAGCAAAAGGAAAAGACTGTGTGAGATGTGGTATAAATGACCATTTTGTCAGGGTATGTTTGCAAAATCCTGTCAACCCCACTTCTTATCCAAGACGAGGGCAACAACAAAGTAGAGGGAACCAGGGTCGTGGTAGGAGAAATACAGGGTACGTAAGGGACACAAACCAGCGTGAAAACCAGGACAAGGAAAGTCGAGGTACAAGCAAAAGTCACCAGTCAACTCATCAATTAGATGCACAATGCCACTACACTGATGACTATGAACAGGGGGATGAGTACCAGATATACTCACTAGAAACTCAGCAGGCATATAATGTAACCACAAACAAAATGGGCAAGAAAAACTTTGTCTACCTCTCATCATCAACATCAGGAAACAAGTTTACACCAGTAAAGTACCAGATAGATTCTGCAGCCACGTGTAATACCATTTCAGATCAAACTGTTAGAGATATGTTTCCAGAGGCAACTATTCAAAGATCCCCGTTCATATTGCATCCTTATGGTGATGCAACCTTCTAAACTGAAGTTCAAAATGAAGGAACTGAAATTTGTCGGCAACATAATTACTGACAAAGGAATGAAAGTGGACCCAGACAAGGTTGCTGCGATCAAAGAAATGACTCCTCCACGCAACAAGGCTGGGCTCCTGAGATTCATAGGGATGGTCAACTACTTATCACCCTTCTGTGAAAATTTGAGTGCAACAATTCGCCCTCTCACAATGCTCACACAGGAAGGCGTACCATTCTCTTGGGTGTCAACACAGGAAACTGCATTCAATCAGGCCAAACAACTTATATCAACAGCACCTGTGCTAAGTTATTATGACCTGCAAAAGAATGTGGTATTGCAAGTGGATGCTAGTGAGGAAGGTCTTGGGGGTGCCTTACTTCAGCCTGATGCTAATGGAAAACTTCACCCAGCGGCATTCACATCCAGCAGCATGAATGCAACAGAACAGAGATATTCCCAAATTGAGAAGCAGTGTCTTGCGATATGCAATGCATTTGCCAAGTTTGACCAGTGGCTGTACGGAAAGGCAGACATTGAAGTACATACTGATCATCAGCCACTGGAAACAATCATGAAGAAGCCACTGAACAAGGCCCCTGCAAGGCTACAAAGAATGTTGTTAAAACTACAACGCTATCACTTCACTGTCAAGTACAGAAAAGGGACATCACTTCATCTTGCAGACGCACTGTCACGAGCAGCACTACCAACTCCAATCAATGCCAAGGTGAGAGGGTATGAAGTATTCCGTCTGGAACTAGAACACGAATATGATGAGCACAATCCACATCTCCATGAAGAAACTGAGACCAGACTCCGAGAGGAAACTGCGAAAGATCCATTGATGTCTCAGTTGTACACACTTATAGGTCATGGACGGCCAGATGACAGAAACCTACAGGATCCAGCTTTGGCCTCCTACTGGGGCTATAGAGACTTAGCATCAGCAATGGGATCATATACAAAGGTTCACTTGTGATGATCCCAAATAGCATGTACAGAGAGATGCTGGAAAAGATACACTTGAATCACTTTGGAGCTGAATCAAACATACGAATGGCTCGAGAGGTCCTCTTTTGGCCTGGGATGAGGAACTCTATTCATGATATGTGCAGTGCGTGTGGAACATGTGCACAGTATGGAAATGAAGCACCCAGAGAACCAATGAAGTCTTTGCCAATACCCACCATGTCCTGGCAAATTATAAGTCAAGATTTATTTGCCTTTGAGAAAAAGACTTACCTTGTCACAGTTTGTCACTTCTCTGACTGGATTGAGGTTGACGAATTGGAAGACACTCTCTCCGCTACAGTGATAGCCAAAACAAAGGCTCATTTCTCTCGCTATGGGATTCCGAGTGTGTGTCATACAGACAATGGACCTCAGTTCATCAGCAAAGAATATGAAGACTTTGCTCAGCAGTATCACTTCAAGCACACAACGTCTTCACCATATCATCCACAAGGAAACGGAAAGGCTGAGTCAGCTGTCAAAGTGGCAAAAGCTATGATGAAGAAATCTGATGACAAAGAACTGGCATTCTTGAACTACAGAAATTCTCCCCAAAAGGGACATACCTATTCACCTGCACAACGCATGATGAATCGTCGCACAAGGACTTTGCTGCCGACACCAAATCAACTTCTGCAGCCCCAGGTAGTGGATCCCGAAATAGTTTATAGAGAGATCAGGGGCAAAAGAATCTCTAGCAAGACTCAGTACGATAGATTGTCTGGTACAGAGCATGAACCAATAGAAACTGGCAGTTATGTGTATGCTAAACCTCCACCAAACCAGAGAGGAAAACCTTGGGCATATGGGCAAGTCATCCACAAGGACAATACAAGGTCTTACAAAATAAAAACCCCTGGTAGCACACTGAGAAGAAACCGTGTGCAAATCAAGCCAGCAGCTGCGCCACCACCATCAAACAACTACAACTCATCACAGAGGGCGCATAATCAATTGATCTTGAAGAATGCTGAAGTCCAAACAACTGTACCAAGTTCACCCATGAAACCTGTGACAGATCGAAGTGTAACAGCCCAAGCCAGCCCTAACATTACACAGAATGTAGAACAATCAAAGACTACACAGCCAGGTTTTCAACCTACAGAAAGTGTTACAGATATTACCAAGATATCTGAAGAGACTTGCTCAGTAAAGCATCCACTAAGGGAAAAAAGATTGCCTTTAAGATACAATGACTATATAATGCTTCAGTGAATTGATGTAATAATTATCAACATGGACATGCATGAATTACTGTCATGAACTTTGAGGCAAGACTATAAGATGTGGTTGCATATACAGACAGTGCCTGTACAGAACTAAGCAGATACATTTAACTATCTGATCATTGCAGCTGTTGAGAACTTTTAATGGTTACAATCGTTTAATATCATTTGAGTTAAAGGAGACATGCTCTCTTTCTATTTTTTTTCTTCCTTTTTTTTGTTTCTTCCAAAGGAGGGGAGATGTTAGTATGTTCATTTCCGAGTTATTCCGATTGTTGGAAATACGAGGTATTGCGAATGTCAGGCTGGAAGTAGCATGGTCAGGGATCCCAAAAAGATGGCAGCCCGCATGTGTTTTGTGATCGAGTCCCGGTGTATCGTCAGGCGTAATAAAGCCTCTGCAAATCAAGACAACTGAACTGTGTCTTTATCATTGGTCCAACAAGGTTGGAAACTATAGGTCCACTTGGGATTAGGGCTGTTACGATTCTCTCGTGTATTCGGTGAATCGAACTGTAACCATTCATGAATTGAATTCGTTATTTGTGGCCACTAGAATCAAATATTTATGAATATGCAATCGTGTGTATTAACATACCCTGTACCTAAATATATCCATAAGAACATATTATATGCATAGATTTCTTTCAATGACAACACTCTTACAATATTTAATTTGACAGTAATGTGGTCACTGGTCATTGTTGCATTTGAGCAGATACTAGTACCTGGATAAGCATGATAAGTGAAGTAAATAAAGTATAATATATTAATAATTAACAAACCATGTCAAATAATTTATGTTGTTATTGTTTCTCTGAATATAATAATTATACATCAACTGCAGACTTGTCATTGTATTTGTGAATTAATATTCGTATTCATTACCCTATATTCGGGATATGAATCGTATTCACCTCACAGTGTATTCGTTGCAGCCCTCTGGGGATGACTTCAACTTTCCTATAGTAAACATTCTCTTTACGTCTAGCAATAATCCAACAGCTGAAGCCTTTACTGCCTTTACTGCCTACATCTCACAACTTTAGAGCAACAATTGTGTGTGTGTGTGTGAGTTGGGTTTAACGCTGCTTTTAACAGTATTCCAGTCATATCGCGGCGTGTCAGCTTAATGTGGGAGGAAAGCCTGAAGTGATGCAGGTCTCAGACGTTTACCACTTCGGTGAAACCCACGAGCACGGGTATGGTGCTGACAAACCTAGAAACATAATCGGGGTGAACTGGGATTCGAACCCACAATCATAGGTTTCTGGCGTGCCCAAGGGACGCAACTCTGCACAGCGAATCGGCCCCCAGAGCAACAATTAAGCATGCTCCTTCTTCAAAGATTTCAAAGAGCACCATACAACACTTGCTCATAAGTTGTTTGATCAAGGTAGGCTACATCTAATGCCTTAGAAAAGCTTACAAAAAGTTTTATGGTAGACATGTGAAAAATTATTCCAAATTTGATGCATAAGTGACAAAAGTGACACAAACTATATGATCCCACGTTTGTTCAGTCGAACACTTGACTTGCTTTTGCATGGGTTTGTGGTGGATACCATGAATGGGGCAGGATATACTCACTGTTTATAGCGAACACCTGGCATCATCACAATTTGTTAGTGTTTCATAAAAATGTGCTAATGATACAGATGGAATCATACAACGGACTCTGCTTTAAGCAGAGATTCCGTATGAATATGAAAAAGGTTTAAAATTGTATAAGAAACTTGTTAAACCATGTTTTCTATGTGTGTATCCATGTATGCCTGTGTGTGTCTGCGTGTATATTAACCGAAAAGAGTGTCATAAAACAATGAGTGAGTGAGTGAGTTGGGTTTAACGCTGCTTTTAACAGTATTCCAGTTATATCACGGCGTGTCAGCTTAATATGGGAGGAAAGCCTGAAGTGATGCAGGTCTCAGACGTTTACCACTTCGGTGAAACCCACGAGCACTGGTATGGTGCTGACAAACCTAGAAACATAATCAGGACAAACCGGGATTCGAACCCACAGTCATAGGTTTCTGGCGTGCCCAAGGGACGAAACTCTGCACAGCGAATTGCGGCGCCTTAGACGACTGGGCCACCCGTGCCCCCCATAAAACAATGAACAGAAAAAAAAGGTGAACTTGCTCTTACATGTATAATGTTTATGCTTATCATTATCTTGTTTCATATTTTTAGACTTTATTATTTTATTTCTACATGAAAATGACTTTTTGATATATGGTACCTTTCCTAGGAGGTTTTCAATGTTGCTTGATAATATCCATGTTCCCTTCACACAAAACACAGGCAAACTTTAAAGAATGAAACTGGCTCATGTCTAAACTCGAATGCAAAAAGTCTACTACGTACCCAAGATCAATACTCTCTGTTAATGTGTAACATATGTGCATACATGAACAGAATTTTACACATGGGATTTTGACAAGGTCCCAGCTTGCAAACAAGAGCTTACAGTTTATTTACATATATTTACTAAGTAGACACGATTTATGGATAACAACTTCTTTATTTACTGTAAAGGTGACATTTCGCTACAGATCCTTATTGTTATCCATAAATTGTGTCTACTTTGCCATCCATCGACTTCTAAGTAATGCCTATCAAACAATTCATATATTTACCTGAGGCAAAGACTTTTCATGTAATTTTGGACAACAATGGTTGTTATCGACTTTAGTATTGGTTGATAACAACACCTGGAGTAAGAATAAGAAATGTTTGGTATGACTGTGAAGACTTGATATTTGATATTGACTTAAACATTTTTTTCAGGAAATAAGAGCTAAATTAGTTAGCTGAAGAGATAAATAAATATCCATATATCCCTTTTAAATGACACGTGTTGTTCATGCACTCAAAGTAGACCTTTAAGGTTTTGTGGGGGAAATTAAGGTCCACTACCAATGCATGGACTACATTCACCAAGAACATGTAGCCACACTCATTTTTACTTGCTTTACGGATCCGCAGACTGAAAATTTTGTTGTAAAAAGACCGGAAAAATAAAAATTCAGAATTTGTTCTCTTTTTCACCCCACTAATAAGCTGACAGCATTTGAAGCTGATCCTAACAGGTTCTTGACATGATTTGTGACCGTGGATGAAACCTTGGTTCACCCCATCCAGCCTGAGTCACTGGTAGCATTTAACATCACCACCACCAAAGAAGGCAAACAGACCAATTACCAGGATAGCTAATGGCCTCCGTGATCTGTGATACCAAGGTTGGTTGGTTGGTTTGTTGTTAAACGCTGCACTCAGCAATATTCCAGCTATGTGACGGGGGTCTGTAAATAATCGAGTCTGGACCAGACAATCCAGGGATTGACATCATGAGCATCAATCCACGCAATTGGGATACGATGACATGCTTCAACCAAGTCAGCGAGCCTGACTACCCTATCCCGTTAGTCGCCTCTTACAACAAGCATAGTCGCCTTTTACGGCAAGCATTGGTTGCTGAAGACCTATTCTACCCTGGATCTTCACAGGTCGTGATGCCAAGGGTCAAATTATGGTGGACTATCTTCCAAAAGGCCATACAATTAATGGAGCATATAATGCTGCACTTTTGACGCATTTACCGGAAGAAATTACTGATAGACATGGGAAGCCTACACTTGGGCACGCCAGAAACCTATGATTGTGGGTTCGAATCCTGGTTCGCCCCGATTATGTTTCCAGGTTTGTCAGCACTATACCCGTGCTCGTGGGTTTCCCCGAAGTGGTAAACGTCCGAGACCTGCATCACTTCGGGCTTTCCTCCCACATTAAGCTGACACGCATCAATACAACTGGAATAATGTTAAACGTAGCGTTAAAACCAACTCGCTCGTGTTACAAAATATGGCTCTCCAATCAGGACAATGCTCCAATGCACAAATCAGTCATTGCCACTACCAGACTACGACTGAAATGTTAACGGAAATGTCAAATAGGAATTTTCACACATATAGTATTTGCTCCGACGAGAACAAATATATCATATGCTCAAACTCCATTTATCTTTTCTTTCTTCCAGGCCTGCTCCCACCCACCCCAAAATAACCAAGCCCCATTTTTTAATATAGCCCTATAAAAAAATTCCCTCCTTTAGTCTATTGAAAGTTTCCCAAGATAGAACATATGTGTGTGAAAGTTCCCAAATGACCGGAACAAGTTTCAGCGTATTAGGAAGCAAAATGTGACATGATATGCACCTCCAAAGGAACAAATGATAGTCATAAAAGTTCCGAACCTATATATACTCGGACCTTGTGGTACTGCAGCATTCATTGTATCGGGGCATATGTGATTTCTGGTAGTTCATGTGGGACACGCCTCTTAGCGGGTGTGTATTAATGCAAATCAGTAGCCAGGAAGTGCTCACTTCGTAAACAATTTCAATTTCCTCGGAATGTTCCGTCTGCTGTAAGTAAGGAGTTATTAATGCATTGATACTTACTTCTGGCATTTTTTTTAATAATGCCTTACCCCCATCTGTCAATGGCCAACGATATAACCCGCAGTTCGCCAAGGAAACTTTCTCTATCGACCTGAACTAGAGCATCTGCATATTCATGGCGACTAATAAGGTAACGAAAGTAACATGGTCCACACATTTTCCCCCCGCTCTGGCCCAGAATCTATTAGGAGATCATAAGGGCCATAATGCCATACTTAGAAATACGTTTTTCACTAGTAGCCAAAAGATAAATACATATTTTGGGCATACTAGGAGTGCTTTTTATACATTAAATTTAAATACAAAAATTAAAAACCTTAAATACAAATTATTGTCATCCAATATTTTTTAAAACAATCTTAAAATATCATTTCTGATATTTTGTTGTTGATTTTGTAAAATATCTTTCTCTTACTTTTCGGTAAATGTGCATTGAAAACCTACTACTGATAATACATTTACAATTTTACTTGTGCTGTCTTTGCACTTGTCTGGACAAATCACTTAAGTCTGGCATCATCATACTTAGTGGTTAGTAGAATTATGTCCTGTTTTTGTCCAAATAGGACCTCCATTCACAACCTTTCCCTGTACCGCATTACGATGGAGTTCTCTGCCTTGTCAAACTGAGCCCGAGGCCCGGCTTTTACTCGGAGCTACTTATGTAAATAATGAACTTTTATCAGTAAAATATTCATTGTAAGATAAAAAAAATGACACCTGATATAGAGAACACGAATAATCATCTAGGTTAGTGAGTGCATCTTGTTCCGTTTAGGGTACATAACAAGTACCGCGATACCCCGAAGTAGCAAGCTAACCATGTTTACAACAAATAGCCTAATGATCAAGTCCACACATCTCGACTTGTCCTCCACTGCAAACTCCTACACCAACATTTATAATGTTAACCGTATTCAACGTAATAAGCACCCAGGGCGCTCTCAAAATTAGAAATAGGGGCTCTTATTAGAATATAATTTTGGTGAAAGAGTCGAAAGATCGTAAATTTTATGGTTTCTGCTGACAGCCTGAAATGTTACAAAAGAAAAGTCTGTGCGTATTATACTCGACAGATATATTTTTCAGGAATTTCATTGCCCGTAATTAAGGGTGCATATAACACACGAGTGCGTATTATACACGAATAAATGTACACGAATTGTGTACATTGATCAGTCGGAAGGGTGCTATTTGGGATCGTTCACTAGCCAATATATTGGAAAATATCGCCGTGGGCGCTTATTAGAGCGGGGCGCTTATTACGTCGAATACGGTAATGGTATTTAATGTCGTTGATCTTACTCTTGCTTCATGAAACTACTGTTAGAAAAACATGCTACTCTAACTTTCCTTGAACACATGCATCTAGTTTTAAAGGGGCAATGATCTAAAGAAAATTCCCCAGGACTGGTTGTTGCCTTTGTTATTGTTTTTTCCAAGTGAGTACCTGGATGTATAGCAGAAATCTAGAATAGTTTGCGACCTCTGCTGCGCCATTCATAAGCACATTAGTCACTTTTATAAGTAGTAATAAGGGCGTATGGTCACATTGATCAACAAAATGAAATACAGTTTTCGAGATAATAAGGAAATGTAGGTATCTTTGTGGGTAGCATCGGTAATGGTGACGAAGATTTGATAAGTCACTTTCTTGGTAATTTTGCGATGTTCGTTTACACTATATTGACTTGCAAAACAAAGTAAATATTTCACCTGAGCATTGCTTTTTTTATAGTGTGTATATTTTTTACTGTCAAAATGTGTAACATTTTCAAATTTATTAAATGCCTAAATATTCAGTTATTTTACAAAGTGACTGAAAAACATTTCAATCTGTATTATTATGATAACGAATTCCAAACATTTTGATGTTTAATGTCATCAACAAGAGACTGAAAATGTTACAAAGGAAAAGACTTGTGAAAACAACGTCTATCGCGCATTGAAGAATTTCCCAACCAAGATGCAGAGGAACAAGAACAAATCGGTTCAATGCTACAGCAAATGAAGGAAAACAAAATGCAAATACCATAATTACAACCTACCAAATTTATGTGTATAAATTTTAGGCAGCTTCCTTGTTCGAGGAATGTATCCGTGAATATCCACACAAAGGAACAATATCCCACTCGTCTGCAGCTGTACAAAGAAACTTATTCGATGTCACGTGTCTCTGTAACAATCAAATATTTTAAAAGATATATATCGTTTCGGGATATTATAACCCGTGTTCGTTTCTCAACTGATCAATTAGATTGTTTCAGGTGTTTCACATAGATGTCAAGTCTCAAGGGTTGGCTGAGAAAGCCCACGTGACAACTATTTTCATAACATCCACGGTTCCTAAAAAATCCATTGAGTGATCAATCAACGTATTAACAATTAACCCTTTGAACAAAGTATGTTGTTTTTACATCGGCACTTCACGTCATGATATGAGGGTATTCCCTTTGTTTTAGTAAACCTAGACATGTAAACACTCACTTTTGACATATCCACTGTGCAAGATAACAGTGATTAATCAATCAACGTATTTTCTGTTCATCCTTTGATGACTAGGTACGATCCGTTGATTTACAAAAAAAGTAAATCAACTGATCATTCACCTCTTGCATATTACATAACACACATTTCACCTCACTTCAAACCTGGATTTAGATTGAATAATTACCCCAGACACTATAAATGCCAAATGGGAACCTTTGTCGGGTAATCTAAGTGGTGCTACCACTAATTGTACCTGTAATAAATTCATTAACCAAGCATCAAATGAATGACGACAAATAGACACAAGTGTAGGGTTATACCAGAAAACGTGGATGACAACAAGGGAGTAGTAATCGTATTTTCAACGCGATCCGAAATCCGAAAATGCTTTCACTGCATGGATACTTTTTTTTATTATTAAACTATAACCATCTGGGGTATTTCCAAATGACGACATCAGATGAGCTCCGCCGTTCTTTTTGTCTGTTTGTTTAGTCTGAAGAAATTAATTAACATGCGCCCTTTGTCGAAATCTTTATAGATCACAGTTAACCAATCAACATTCAAAAATGCGTAAAACAAATATTGCCTCCAGCCTCCAAGTTTATTTAGCTGTCCTTGCAGATGGTAGCCCAGTCTCTGGTCATGCTCAGTTGCGTTGCGTATCATCCGGGTACTCACAGGGTAAAAACAATAACAAAGGCAACAACCAGTCTGGGGAATTGCGTTAGATCAGAGCCCCTTTAAAAATACTGACTGACTGCCATTGACCAATTGCAAAAGTAGCTTTGATTCTTGCCAATCTCAACAATAGAGTTTTGCAAAACTTTCCAGACACAGTTAAGGCTATTGTTAGCCACAAAATTTCCAGATTTACTGTATCGATACTGGGGTTATAGCGAAAACGTCACCTCAGCAAAACGTTAGGGAAAGGAACAAGCTCTTGAAAACATCTACAAATCAGGCGCCAGTGCGTGGAAAGCAATCAGTAAACCCTTCCAGAAACCCGCATAATAGTTATCTCATATATATCTTACATAAATAGGCCCTATAACACTAAATATCACTTGTTTCTAGGTAGCCTACGGAGAGACGACTCAGGACGTATGAGGAGATATTTGACATATGGCGACGATACAAAGATGGAGACCTCTCCCTGAGCCCAACTACTATCACAATGTTCGATTGTACATGGGCCAATATTGTGAACACGATGTATGACGATGGACATGCCGACAAAACTGTAGAACTGTATATATGAACATATGTCCTTGTCTGTGAAAACAGGAAATACCATGTAAATACATCAAATACCATGTAAATAAACAATATATATTACTACAAAAATTAGGTGCCGTTTTCGCCCGAAACATAGAAGCCGTTTTCGCAAAATGCGATGACGTTTTCACCAGAGAAATCGGTGACGTTTTGCTGAGGTGCCGTTTTAGCCTGCACCCTCGATACTGGGCTATTTGTTGCGTCAGTCTTTTCTTCACATTGAAAAGTAAAGTTTCTTTTCTCCACATTGAAACGTAATGTTACTTTTAAAGATGACATTACTTCTTTTATGAGCTGTTTTCAAGACCCTGTATGATTTGTAACTTTTGAAACCATAATTAGTTGCTGGACAGAGTACGAAATCTTACCTCAGTAATGCTCCTTTTGCAGTTTTAGTACTTTCGAAGAGCGACCAGTAGAGACACTAGGCGTAGGAGAGAGCAAGCATGATGATATCAATATATCGATCAAAACCTATTAGTATCCTATTGCCTCTTGTTAACCGTGATGTGTGAAATGAGGTTTGACAGCTGTTGCAATCGTGGAGCACGGATGACAATCTAGGGGAGGTAACTCTAAATTCTATTTCATTCAGTGTACCACTAATTAGAACCAAATTGTTCCTCTAGAATAAGGTACTTCACTTTGTTCATCCCCCATGTGTAGAGGTATAAAAGTATTATTTTGAACTAAATTATTTTGGTTAAAGCACGAAGACGCTTGCTGAAGTGCCCGGGTCCAAATTAATATTTGAGGTATCTAATGTATAGTGCGACTTCCCTACCTTTTGGTGCTGGATTTACAAACATTTCATCGTGTAAGCAGTTAGGGTTGCGGTCTAGAACGTCAAAAACGACATCAAACTACCGCATTTCCTCTATTAGACGCTAGACCGCCTATTAATTTCACAAGAGCAATTGACTCGGCGTGTATAAGAGACGCACCTGGTTTGAATTTGAGACCCAGCGTGTAGAGGAAATGTGAAAAGGCTTAATATATTTGAAAGGGGTTTCCGTAGCAAAAAGCAAACCTCTTTTTAACCAATCAAAATCAAGTATTCATCAATGTTATGTAGAATATCCCATGACGTCGTAGTTTGTGAAATTTTGTTGCCAGATACACCGGCAAAACAATGCCATGTGACATCAGCCTAGCAATACGGTTGCAAGGGATCATAAGACTGCATCGGTTGAAATGAGGGCCTTATATTACAAGGACTGTCCACTTGGTCCAAAAGGCGCTACTCTAATTTACAACGCACACCTCAATAGTCTTTAGTAGGCGCTGCAATGAATGTTGTGTTGATCTTTCGACATAATGCTTTGTTTATTAGTGATGCTCTGGGTCTTAAAACTGCTTGCACTTCGTACAACAATACAATTAGTGCATGGGGTTTGCATAAAAGTCGGCCGGGCCGGGCCGGGCCGGGCCAAGACGAGCCAAGGTTTTATTGGCTAATTACTCCATTATCGACGACCATGCCTACATATTATTGATTAACAGACACACGTGGCACTAATGAACAATCACAAACCAAAAACGTGCAGCATAATTAAGTGATTGCGAGTAAATCGCTTGAAAATCAGAAAGTCGAGCCGCGTGTTATCGTCGCTAGGTAAGAAACGGGGAGCACGGGTGGCCCAGTCGTCTAAGGCGCCGCGATTCAATGTGCAGAGTTGCGTCCCTTGGGCACGCCAGAAACCTATGATTGTGGGTTCGAATCCCGGTTCGCCCCGATTATGTTTCTAGGTTTGTTAGCGCCATATATATCTCTGCTCATGGGTTTCAACGAAGTGGTAAACGTCTGAGACCTGCATCACTTCGGGCTTTCCTCCCACATTAAGCTGCCAGGCCGTGATATAATTGGAATAATGTTAAAAGCGGCGTTAAAACCAACTCGCTCAGACACACACAGGTAACATACGTGTAAAAGAGCAATCGTTAAACGAAATAGGATTTGAAACGTATCAAATATTTCTAGCTATCGTGATACACATTTCCACTTGTCGGAAGGAAGGTATTATATCTAAATAAAACACATTATAATGTCTTATGTTCATCGTATTTAAAGCAGACACGTTGGTTAAAGTAGACCTCTTCTCCCCATACTCTCAACAGTTCTCTTTACAATTTGTTTGGTTTTGGCAAAATAACTGGTACATAGTAATCAGATCACCCTCTGACGTTGGCATAAACATTCACATTACAACATATACATACAGTGCAAATTTACATTTACATTTACATTTGCACCTGCTCCAGATATGATGTAAATTTGCTCCTGGTGTAAATATACTAGTACATACGTGAGTAAATGCCTTCACATGTAAAGTATACTCACGTATGTATATTAACACACGTGTGCAAATATACAAAAATCCTACTTATCTAAAACATTTAGTGCATGAAACATTAAATAGCATTAACATACAGTGTTGGACAAGTGCAAGAGATAAGTCTTCAAAAGGCACAATGTATAGTATCATAAAAAATGATTGCCTAAATTTTGAATATTATTTAAAAGTACTGCTGAAAAACGTTTGGCAAGTCTTACCTAAGTTTAGACCTTTTACCCATAATCTACCTATTGAAACTGGGAGATGAGAAAAAGACCTTTAATCGAAAGGAAATGTCCTCTGCAAATTATCTGACAAGGGTGATGAATTCCATTATTTGTTTATTTGTCCATTTTTAGAAAACGAAAGAAAACAATTTTTACACAGATTCTACTACATCAAACCCAATATGCATAAATGACTTTACTGTTCAATAATTAACGATAAGAAGCATTGAGAAAACTGTCTAAATTCTGTAAAATCATCATGTCATTGCTAAAACCCATATTGTTACCCAAGTGAATCTGTATAAATATGCATGCAAGCTTGGCAAAGATGTTTTTGTATCTATTCTATATTTATATGTATATGTATATTCAACCGCAAAAGAAACGTCAACCCAAGTAACATTGCATGAAAAATTGTCATTTAAATATCTGGGTAATTTTTGTCAAAGTTTCTAAAATTTAACATTACCTTGTCCGGAAAAATGAAATTTGATGATAAAAAAAACAAAGCAGATGACAGTAAAACCGATCGCCCAAACGCACCACGGCAACGGCCAGGGTAACCCGATGCACGTGAGTTACGTGCAAATTGAATTTCACATGCATGCGTTCCCCCATTTCTTGCCCTACAATAATCCACCCAGATCGGATAACATTCATTCGTTATTGAATTGCGACCACATGCCAAGATTGACAAGAAATCAGCGACACCAAGCCCTTGGACGATTTCAAGCTGGACAAACCGCCCGACAAGGAGTCAATGCATTTTAAGTCCACGTAAGGACCATATACAGGCTCCAGCAACGGTACCAGACCACCAACACTACAGATGACCAACCACGTAGAGGAAGGATAAGGGTCACCACCCGACGTCAGGATCGGCTGATTGTGCGACAGCCTCTTCAATATCGCTTTGTTACTGCTGCGGAAACTGTTCGACAGACCATGGGGACACACCAGCGACACACCTTTGCGGACACTGTGCGTCGACGATTGACCAGCAGATACCTCCACTGTCACAGGCCACACCGAGGACCCATTCTGACATGACGACATTCTTCAGTGGGCAACGCACCACCAGCATTGGCACCACCAGCAGTGGAGAAGGGACCTCTTCTCAGACGAGAGCCGTTACTGTATCTTAACAGCAGATGATAGAGAGAGATAGACTGGCGACGCCGTGGGGAACGTTATTCGGATGCTTGTGTTGTTGAGAGAGCCTCGTGGGGTGGTCCGAGCGTCATGGTGTGTGTGTGTGTCGGGGGGGGGGGGGGGGGGGGATTGGTCTTCCACAGAGGGTCGGCCCTGTGGTCTTCCAGAACATCGGTCCAGTGAGAGGCAATGGTGGCACAACAGCTCGGTACTATGATTAAGTCTTGAGACCACACGCCATACCTCATTTGGCAAGTCGCCGCAGCCACGAGTTTGAGCAGGATAACGCCCACACTGCGAGGGCAACAAGAGACTTCCTCCAACAGAATGGCATCAGAACCATGCAGTGGCCTGCCCTCTCCCGATCTAAATCCCATTGAGCACCCGTGTGACGAGATTCAAAGGCGGCTGAATGACGTCCGACCAAGGCCAACAACTGCAGCTGGACTGCGTCAGGCGTTCCTCAGAGTGTGGGCTCAAGAGGTTATCTCCTATTAGTTAGACAGCCAGTTGTTAGACAGCCAGTTGTCAGACACTGAAGTAGGGGAATAATTAGGGCAGTACCCACAACAATGGTAGAGTCCTACTCAGTGAACTAATTAGGCATGTCTCATGTCTCAAGGTTCATTAGGCATGTCTCAAGGTTCATTGTTTGATCTTTCTCTACTTATTTTCTACTTATTTATTGCTATAGTTATTTACTAGATTGATACTCCAGTCGCTACTCCTCTTGCATGTCACAGAGAGGCACACCTCAGATTCTTCTGGATGGATATCTCTACAACCGAAATCGAGAAAGACAGACCAGCACCCACTGGAGGCGTGTTATCAAGACCTGCACTCGTAGATGCACAACAAGTCACGACTACCTCCGGGACCAGACCATCCACCAGAACATGTCAACAAACTCAAGTTCCTCAGCACACTTCGAAAGCGCGCCCGTGAAGAAACAACCAAGATGCACTCCCTCTACAATGACCAGCTAGCACAAGAAGATGACAACGAGATACCCCTTCTGCCTTCCTTCTCCTGCGTCAGCAGTGCCCTTTGCAGACAGCGCCGCAACACAATGCCTGCTCTCCCCAGGAATCTCTCAGATGTTGATCTCCTAGGTTCCTGGACTGAGACCACTGATGAACGGCACTTCCTCCTCCTTAGTAATGGCGTGCACAACAAGATCCTAGCCTTCTCTACCCTGGAACAACTACAAATCTTGCAGGCTGCGGACATGGTGTACATGGATGGCACATTCACCTTCTGCCCAGACCTGTGGGATCAAGTATATATCTTTCATGCTCGAGCTGGTTCTACATCCTATCCACTTGTCTTCACCCTGTTGCCTGATCGTCAAGCCGCCACCTATGCCAGACTGTTCCGACTCTTGAAGACTGAAGTGCAGCAGAGACTGAACAGACCACTTGCTGCAACCAGAATTCAGACAGACTTCGAGCTGGCCTCAATCCGTGCAGAAGAAGAAGAGTTTCCCCAGACCATCATCAAAGGGTGCTACTTCCACTACTGCCAAGCCCTGTGGAGAAAAGTGCAAGACCTAGGACTGGCAGTGCCATACAAAGAAGACCCTCGGGTCAAACAGTTTATCAGGAGAGCGGCTAGCCTGGCTCTACTTCCCTGAAACCGAGTGTAAGATGTATGGCTGGATGTAATGAACTCTTCCCCTGATGGTCGTCGCATTGAAGATTTCAAAGACTACATGGTTATCAACTGGGTGGATGATGATGCAATGTTTCCGCTGCCCCTGTGGAATCACCATGAAACTGAAGGGCCACGCACCAACAACAGCCTGGATGGTTTTCACTGCCGGTTGAACCAGTCCCTGACTCATCGCCATCCCAATATCTTCCGGTTTATAGAGGTCATCAGACGTATTGAACATGCGGAAAGAAGCAAACTCGTCCAGGGCAACTTTGGAGCAGCACCACCAAGCCGCAAGCGAGTGTATCGCGAGATCGACAACCGGACCATCAGATTGAAAGACCATCTACTCCTTGGTCAGAAGACTCCAGTTCAGTTTTTAGATGCTGGGGGCCACCTCCTGAAACTTGCCTAAAGACCTTTGTCTGGCAACAGGATGAACCGAGTATGACGTTGTGTACATATCATGACTAAATTTAATATATGTGTATATACATCTGATGTAACAGCCAAATCTGAGATGAACGTTCATAAAATAAGTACATCTGACTTAACACGTCTTTTTGTTTTGTTACATCTTGATGTTTAGCTATGGGTCATTCCATTATCAATCAAGGTAACAGCATTGCACTTTGTTGTGCACTCAACCAGAAAAGTTGTTATTTTAAGGTGTCTAACAACTGGCTGTCTAACTTATGGGAGGACACCGCTCAGCGCCTATGGCCTTCATCAACTGCCTCATCCATTCCATGTATCGATGTTGCACGGCAGTCATCAATGAACATGGCGAACACACAAGATACGGACTTGTGATGCCACTTTCTCATAGACTAATGTTGTGTTTCACTTTAAGAACATTGGACACTTTAATTTCAACCTTGATAATAAGTTTTTGCCAAGTTTCATCTTTTTAATATGTCTCAAAGTATGTTAACAGTGTTTGGACAAAAAAGGTTTCTCATATATCTATCCATGGTGACGTTTCTTTTGCGGTTCAGTATATTATGTTGGTGAAATAATTTAGTACTTTTGACGCCGCTGATAACGGAGTGTTAATATAAAGGTTCAGTTCAGCGATGCCTATTTCTGATGTCCCCCGCCGTGTTACTGCTACAAGCGGTGTAAACCCATACTCACGAAATATACCTTGCTTAAAAGTGAATACAAACACATGACGAATCCATTTTTAAGAAGATAAACCAAGAGTTGATACCTTTAATGTTTGGTTTCACAGGTCAAGCTTCGTCTCACAAGTCGTAAATTTGATTATTGATTAAACTGAATTTAAATGGAGAAACGTTTTAAGCTCAACTACGAGTCTTGTGTCTCATCGATCCTTGTCATAGCGTCCGTATATGCACGTTATATACAATTAACAAGTGTGGAATTCATCCCAATTACACCTGTACTCAGACTTAATTGCTTAAGTTGAAAAATTGCCCCTTGTGTAATTGCAATGAACTGGGTGTTGCGTACTCAATCAACACATTACAACCATTTGCCCGTAATTAGCTGTCCCGAGATTTCAGTGGTAGTTAATGGCCTACCGTTTCATTAATACCTTATGCATTCGTGGAGGCCAATTAACAAAACCAAATATTGTCTTTTGAGCATCCGTTTACAGGTCTGTCTAAAATGATTCCAGAATAATTCCGTAAGCCATGAGAGTTTCATGTCCATCACAATACGAATAAAGTTATAACTTATCGTCACTATTGATTTGAAAGAGAATATTTCATATTTCGGCGGGGGACACAAGAAATGGGCTTCACACATTACAAACGTGGTTACAGAGTGCAAATTGACAACATAACATGAGAAGAAGGAGAAGGAGCTTGTTAGCATCTGTCCCTCGCATTAAATTCCGTTGTCAAATAACGATATTATTTGGACGGAAAACCGATGGTTAGAAAGTGTTAGAAAACGTAGTATTTTCATCCAATGACCATATACGGAAAACAAAGACTGTGGTGTTTGTAGTGTATTGTTCAGTGGATCTAAATACGGTTACCATTCACATTTTAAATATAGAACGTCATCGCCAGGTCTCTATTGTCTGTTGAAAAAAGATTCATTAGGCGTAAAAGGCAAAATAGTGATGACAATAGACCGATCCAGTCTGTCAATCAAAACTAGCGCATGCGTGAGTTTGATCCAATCAGAAGGCCGGGCGCGCTTTGCGGATTTGTCAGACTTATTTCCGGGGTCAAACGATACCCAAGAAGCGACGTGGCTACGGTTTGTGCTATTTTCACTCGCGATATTCATTACATATCGCTGGGATTAGATGTATACCTTTACCCAAACCCACAGGGTCGGGAGAAAAATGTTTGAAGCTGATCAAGGTGGCGGTAGGCCTCACCATCAGTTAAATGTCGCCACCATCGATCACGGGACCCACGTCTGCTCGAAGGTGAGAATTTGCACGAATATGCATATTCAATACGAGTAAATGACAACATGTAGCAAGTTATTATTTTACGCATGTTATAAGCAAGGATAATGCTTGTAACTACAAAATCCTTTTTTAAATTTTGTATTTTGGCAACATCTGACATCGCGAGACGGCCGTGACACTGTAAACAAATATGATCTGATTTCGATAAGTGCAGAACGAAATCTACTATTATTTACATTGAAGTACAATCTGGTTGAAGTTGTATTCCTCTCTCTTAGGTATTATTTATTTTGTTACAGATTTTTAGATATGATTTTAATTTCAAAATCACAAAAACGCTTTATATTGCAAATTACTCGAGCATAATGATGCAAATTATTTAAACATAGATATACAGTCGTGCCTCGTTTATACGGACAAATTTCCGTATAACTGAAACCAGCTTCTTACTGGAAGAGTTACTTCCCTTCAATTATGCAACTCATGGCAGATGACAGCGCAAACAGATACATCCACTCAATTGTTTTCGTTCCTTAAAATCTTTCAATTTAATTCATAAAAGTTCCCATTAAATCATGCTTTGAATATTTCAGCATTTTTATGAAGAGACAGGACCCATGCAGTAATGAATTACCTGATCCAATTCTTGTGAAATGGAATCATCCCTTCAAGGTTAGAAAGAAGAGGAAGATTTCGTGAGAAGGAAGTGCATTGCAGAAATTTTTGACAGATTGAAATAAAAAAATAATCTTAGTTAATATAAGAAAATCATTGGTTTAGAATTTGTTTAGAATTGTTTGCAACATAAGTTATTCACTGGTAGTTGAGGCTTACTCATATACATTATAGTGAACTGTTAAAAACGATAAGTGACAAGTCATTTCAATTAATGTACTGGAAATGATAGCAAGATTCTTTTATGAATTTAGAGTAGAATGGTCAAGTAATGATATAAATTGTCATCCAATCAAATAATTAATAATTATTCCGACTAGTTAACAGGTATTTAACTGATGCCGTATAAAAGTCAGATTAATAGGATATAATTGCAGGACTAACAAACCCTAAAAGTTTAATGGTACAACATCCACCTGGTATAAAACTTAGCTTGTTGCCACTTTCTACAGGATATAATATTATATCTTTTTAAATATTAAAAAACAACAACATAGTGTTGAAAGTTAGACAGACAGACGGATTTATTTGTATAATAAGAAACAAAGAATTTGTAAAAAAACAAAGCAGTATCTCTTTGTCACACCCTGATCAGGCACTATCCAGAGTGCCTGATCAATTCAATTCTGATACAGACTAAATTATATAATTCTTAATACATTTCATATATAACTGTGATGAATATTGAAAAGTATTTAACCCAAAATTCTTTACCGTGATTTGAGGCGATTGTCAATATTTGATGAATAAGCAAGAGCTGGTGTTTATTAAGGTTGTTGGTTATTTACATATTGTTCAAGTTTTGGTTATGATTATGTTGAGAATGAGCTTCATATTTGCTGGATTCAGGACATTTTCATGTGGGTTTTTTTATCTTCTGATATGACTTTACCAAATTTTATAACAACTTTAGGACATTATGGATGACAATCAGTCAGTATCCTAGAAAAGGAATTGGTCTGAATCCCTTTTTGTGTGTATTTTTATTATTTAAGAAAAAGTCATGTTCACACCAGTATTTGGGAAGCATGCTTGGCATATATGCTTAAATACCTAATGAACTCCAGGTGTCCAGCTACCTGACATTTGCATCTAGATGTATGTTTTTTCATGAAAAAGTAATACTTGTCACTTCACATGTCATTTGTAAAATGAAATATACAGCTGTATATTATTTAGTGTTATGTCCTATAGGCATCAGTAGCAGTCTTGATGTCAACAGGTAATTGTGTTGATTAAAGCTTTGAACTTATGAGATATTTAAGTCTTTGGATGGCATTCAGAAGTGATACACATAAGGAAGAGAATTTATGGATCATCCGATGGTGGGGTTCTTAATAATAAAGAAGTTGACATCAAGATATTTGTTGTACTTAATTTACATGTTTAGTTGTTAGCAGTAATACTTCTTGGATTCATGACAATTCTTTTAAATAAAAGATAATATACGAATTTTAATTTGTGTTATACATTTTATCAATGCAAGTTAATTGATGGGAAGTACTGCAGCCCTGTTTTCAGATAATTTTGCCATCGCAGGTTTCCCTTTTCTGGAATATGGATCTGACTGATTTGCCATAACCATGGCAATTACAGGTGCTCGTTTTATCCTCTCAATGTTTTCCACTGTTCCCACATACATGTACCTAAATACTGGCATTTCATTAAGTCCAATATTCTGGAAGTGTCACCAGGGATTTTTTATCTAAATTTCGAATTTCGAACTAAGTGCCCATGGCAAACAGATTCGGAAAAACAAATAACTTATGATTTCTTTACATTCTGCATAGTTATGTTAAAACATTTGAGGAACTTTTGTTAAAACTTTTGACATCTGCTGCAGAGTTGGGGCTGAATATCAGCCTCTGAGCAGGTCTATATTTATTCCTGGTGATATGCCAGATCCC